CGCTATTTCAGATGAATGGGCAACTCTGCCGTCTCAGGGCTCTGCTCGCCAGCTAAGAGGGCTCCCAGACCAGTGGCTTTTGTACGGAGAACCGCAGCAACAGGGAGTGGTCACAGCAGCCACGCAGGCGGAATCAGCCCCACGGGGGCCAAAACAGCCGCACCGGCTGGGACTGCGACGCTGGCGACCCCTCTGCCTGGGTATCTCCTGGTCTGTGGGCAATAAGAATTCGTCTGGAAATGCGGCATCCACTCACCCTCTGCACTTTCACTGGGAGCTGAAGTCCTGAGCTGTTCTTAGGCGGCCATCTTCCCAGCATTCCCCTCATTGTTTTTTGTTTGTTTGAGACAGTTTCACTCTGTCTCCCAGGCTGGAGTGCAGTGGTGTGATCTTGGCTCACTGCAACGTCCGATTCCCAGATTTAAGCACTTCTCCCTCCTCAGCCTCCTGAGTAGCTGGGATTACAGGCACCCACCACCAGGGTCTTACTCTGTCTCCCAGGCTGGAGTGCAGTGGCACGAGCATAGCTCCCAACAACCTCAACCTCCTGGGCTTAAGAGATTCTCTCGCTCCTCAGCCTCCTAAATTGCTAGGACTACAGGCATGTGGCAATACACCCAGCTAATTTTTTTTTTAAAGCTTTTTATAAAGATGGGATCTGCCTATGTTGCTTAGGCTGTTTTGAGCCCCTGGCCTCAAGCAATCCTCCCACCCCAGCCTTACAAAACACAGGGATTATAGGTGTAAGTCAATGTGCCCAGTTCACAAATTATTTTTTTTAAAAAAAGAATTTTGGTGTTTGCAGCTGCCGCTGCGCCGCCATCACTCTCCAATGCCAGCGCTGCCTCTCGCTTGCAGAGCTCCAGCCGAAAGAGAAGGGAGGTAAGTAAGGAGGTCTCTATACCATGGCTCGTACAAAGCAGACTGCCCGCAAATCTACCGGTGGTAAAGCACCCAGGAAGCAACTGGCTACAAAAGCCGCTTGCAAGAGTGCGCCCTCTGCTGGAGGGGTGAAGAAACCTCATCGTTACAAGCCTGGTACTGTGGCACTTCATGAAATTAGACGTCCACTGAACTGATTCACAAACTTCCCTTCCAGAGTCTGGTGCAAGAAGTTGCTCAGGACTTTAAAACAGATCTGTGCTTCCAGAGCACAGCTATCGGTGCTTTGCAGGAGGCAAGTGAGGCCTATGTGGTTGGCCTTTTTGAAGACGCCAACCTTTGTGCTATTCATGCCAAACGTGTAACAATTATGCCAAAAGACATCCAGCTAGCATACCGCATACGTGCAGAGCGTGCTTAAGAATCCACTATGATGGGAAACATTTCATTCTCAAAAAAAAAAAAAATTCTCTTCTTCCTGTTACTAGTAGTTCTGAATGTTAGATAATTTTTTTTCCATGGGGTCAAAAGGTACCTAAGTATATGATTGCGAGTGGAAAAATAGGGGACAGAAATCAGGTATTGGCAGTTTTTCCATTTTCATTTGTGTGTGATTTTTTTTTTTTTTTTTTTGAGATGGAGTTTCGCTCTTGTTACCCAGGCTGGAGTGAAATGGCGCGATCTCGGCTCACCACAACCTCCGCCTCCTGGGTTCAGGCAATTCTCCTGCCTCAGCTTCCTGAGTAGCTGGGATTACAGGCACGTGCCACCATGCCCAGCTAATTTTTTTTTTTTTTGTATTTTTTTAGTAGAGACGGGGTTTCACCATGTTGACCAGGATGGTCTCGATCTCTTGACCTCGTGATCCACTCGCCTCGGCCTCCCAAAGTGCTGGGATTACAGGCTTGAGCCACCGCGCCCGGCATGTGTGTGAATTTTTAATATAAATGCAGAGACGTAAAGCATTAATGCAAGTTAAAATGTTTCAGTGAACAAGTTTCAGCGATTCAACTTTATAATAATTATAAATAAACCTGTTAAATTTTTCTGGACAATGCCAGCATCTGGATTTTTTTAAAACAAGTAAATTTCTTATTGATGGCAAAAAAATAATAATAATAAAAATTTAAAAAAAAGAATTTTGCCAACATGGCAAAACCCCTTCTCTACTAAAAATACAAAATCAGCTGAGTGGTGGAGTGTGCCTGTAATCCCAGCTACTTGGCTGAGGCTAAGGCAGAGGCAGGAGAATCACTTGAACCCGGGAGGCAGAGGTTGCAGTGAGCCAAGATCATGCCACTGCACTCTAACCTGGGAAACAGAGTGAGACTTTGTCTCAAAAAATGAATAAAAATAAAGTCAAATTGCAAATTATTGCCCAACTCAGTTTTTATTTTGTTAAGCATATCATCTATTTCTCTGGTCTCAATGGCCAGCCTTGGTAGTGGACAAAGTAGGCAGCTACCTACTTAAAGATTTAAAGGATACTAAAAGACCTCAAACTAAAAATGCCTCCCCCACATGAATTCTAAATCTAGATATTCTCCAAGGACCTCTTTGAAAAGAGACATCTTTTCCAACTCACTTAAGGTATGAGGTTACCTAAGAGGGATTATTTATCAGCTAGCTAATTAGTCTGTCACAGAAGCCACCTGACTCAATATAACCTAAAAAAGGTCCTGAAAGAATGACACCAGGATGATATGAGTTAATGGGTTGAGGGAGTGAATAAAAGAGAAGTTAGGAATTAAAGGAAGGAAAGATCCAGAACTTGAAGCACCATTAGGGAAGGCAAACCCTTGGGCAGCCTAAGGACTTAAGTAAGCATCTCCAGGAAAGAAGGTTCTAAAAAGGGCAGCAGATAGGAGTTAATGTTTAAGGGTACAGAATTTTAGTTGTGAAAAATGAAGAAGCTCTCGAGATGGATGTTGTGATGGTGGCACAGTAATATGAATGGACTTAATGCCACAAAGCTTTTATACTTAAAACAGTTTAAATGATAAGTTTTATGTTATTAAATAATAACATAATTAGTTTATGTTATATAAACTAATTGTAAGGGAAACAAAGGTGGCTGAGGCTGTTTTCACAAGTCCTTGACTTTAGTATGATAACCTCCAAGCTGACCTTGATGAGCCTGACCTTGTATTCATGTTTCAATACACTGGATTGGACTAACTTGAGCAACCAGTGGGATATGTCAGAAATGACGAGAAGTGACCTTCCAAGGCTAGGTCATAAAAGATATTCCAGCTTCCAACTGCTTGGATCCCTTGCTCTAGGGGAAGTGGGCTGCCATGTTGTGAGGACACTCACAGCCTATAAGGCAGTCTAGTGATGAGGAACTGAGGCCTCCAGCCAACAGCAGTGTTAACTTGCCAACCATGTGAGAAGCTACCTTGGAAGGAGATCCTCCAGCAGTCCCTCTCATGAGAGAGGCCAAGCCAAAGCTAACCTGCCCTCTCCCAAATTCCTGAACCACAGAAACTGTGAGATAATTGTTATTATTTTAAGCCATTATGTTTTCAGGCTGTATGTTATATAGAAATTAAAAACTAATACAGATAGTATGAGGGCTTCTTTCATCATCTACCTGAGGTTGGTGGTGTCTTCAGTCATTTATATAGATCTATGTGTTTCTGGATAATATAAAGATATTTTGTGGCTCCATTTAGATACAGCTGCATTCACCTTTATATATTTTGAATACCCAATAAGTAACTTGAAAATATTTCCTGATATGAGGTGGAGGCATTGCTGAATTTCAGAAAGTTAAGACTGGTAAGAACTATGACTAATATAATATATCTTGACCAGGTGCAGTGGCTCATGCCTGTAATCCCAGCACTTTGGGAGGCCAAGTTGGGTGGATCACGAGGTCAGGAGTTTGAGACCAGCCTGGCCAATATAGTGAACCTTGTCTCTACTAAAAATACAAAAAATTAGCCAGGCGTGGGGGCATGCACCTGTAGTCCCAGCTACTCAGGAGTCTGAAGCAGAAGAATCGCTTGAATCCGGGAGGTGGAGGTTGCACTGAGCCAAGATCATGCCACTGAACTCCAGCCTGGGTGACAGAGCAAGACTGTCTCAAAACAAAACAAAACAAATACATCTTGTTGGATACTGTGAATGCTTTTCATTTATTCTGTAGGTAAAGTGCTTAAAACCTGAAGGAAGCCGGGCACGGTGGCTCAAGCCTGTAATCCCAGCACTTTGGGAGGCCGAGGCGGGTGGATCACGAGGTCAAGAGATCGAGACCATCCTGGTCAACACGGTGAAACCCCGTCTCTACTAAAAATACAAAAAATTAGCTGGGCATGGTGGCGCGTGCCTGTAATCCCAGCTACTCAAGAGGCTGAGGCAGGAGAATTGCCTGAACCCAGGAGGCAGAGGTTGCGGTGAGCCGAGATCGCGCCATTGCACTCCAGCCTGGGTAACAAGAGCGAAACTCCATCTCAAAAAAAAAAAAAAAAAAAAAAAAACCTGAAGGAAGGCCAGTGTTCCAGTGTTTTAAGTCTTCTTACTTTAACATGAATGAACTCCTTAAACATATTTATATTAAAAAAAAAAAAAAAAAGAGGAAGCTGGTTGGGCGTGGTGGCTCACGCCTGTAATCCAAGCCCTTTGGAGGCCAAGGCAGGCAGATCACCTGAGGTTGGGAGTTCAAGACCAGCCCTACCAACATGGTGAAATCCCGTCTTAAAAAAAAAAAAAAAAAAAAAAAAAGAGGAAGCAAAATAAAATATGGGGACAAAATACACAAAGCCAACTTAAGAACTTTTTTGAGACACAGTCTCGCTCTGTTGCCAGGTGCCAGGCTGGAGTACAGTGGCGCGATTTCAGCTCACTGCAACCTCTGCCTCCCAGGTTCAAACAATTCTTTTGCCTCAGCCTCCCGAGTAGCTGGGACTACAGGTGCTGGCCACCACGCCCAGCTAGTATTTTAGTAGAGACAGGGTTTCACCATGTTGGCCAGAATGGTCTTGATCTCCTGACCTCGTGATCTGCCCGCCTCAGCCTCCCAAAGTGCTGGTATTATAGCTGTGTGCCACCGCACTAGGCCAAGAACTTTTTAAGGGCCAAATCCTTTTTTCTTGCCTCTGTATTTGTGTACCTACCTAAAATTCTAATCTCTGTATCTTTGAGTCTCCAGTTTTTCAACCCAAGCTTGATGAGTTATGGGACCTCCTCCAAATGTCTCAACAGGCTGGTCAGGTTGCCTGCATATCACAGCCCCAGGGCAGCATCAGTGCAGTGAACTGTTCTAGCATGTTAAGCCTGTCAACTGGAAGAAACAAAGAGCACAGTTCACGGACTGGGTGATCTCAAAACTGAGGAAGAATCAAGGGATGTTGAGGAAGAATCAAGCAATGTTGAGGAAGGAATGATCTTTATATTTGGGGGCTCTGCAGCCTACTCAATCTGCAGTGAGAATCTACTTGATCTTTGGTGATTTTTATGGAAAGTATTCAAGCATGTCAAAATATGCAGAATAGTATAATGAAACCATATATACTAATCAGCCAACTTTCAAAACACTAAGTAGCCGGGCGCGGTGGCTCAAGCCTGTAATCCCAGCACTTTGGGAGGCCGAGGCGGGTGGATCACGAGGTCGAGAGATCGAGACCATCCTGGTCAACATGGTGAAACCCCGTCTCTACTAAAAATACAAAAAATTAGCTGGGCATGGTGGCGCGTGCCTGTAATCCCAGCTACTCAGGAGGCTGAGGCAGGAGAATTGCTTGAACCCAGGAGGCAGAGGTTGCGGTGAGCCGAGATCGTGCCATTGCACTCCAGCCTGAGTAACAAGAGCAAAACTCCGTCTCAAAAAAAAAAAAAAAACACTAAGTCATGGGCAATCTTGCTTAATCCTAACCCAATTCCTCCTGTATTATTCTAAAGCAAATCATGGACAGTATGAATTAGTTATTTATTTTTTTTCTTTTTTTCTTTTCTTTCTTTTTTTTTTTTTACCATATTCACATATCACTATCACACCTAAAAAATCATATCACCAATTCCTTAAGCCAATTTGTCTTGCGCATCAGCTACTCTGATAGCTGCCTCCTCAAAGGAGGAAAGCAGGTGGGATCCCGTCTCAAGTGCAGTGAGCATGTGTAAACTGATGACTTAAAAGACATGGGCCTGTGTTCCTTGAGGGTAGTTTAAAAAAGGCCTAAATGATTTTCCTAAGGAAGGTGCATATAGTAAGACACTTACGGGGATAAATGACCTCAGGGCTCAGGCTATGTATTCCGAATATGTATACCCAGTACACATATTCAAGTGTCTGATTTTGGCTGAGTTGTCGTTCTTACTCAGTTCATGTAGAGCTTCATTTTCATCTTTTCCCAGGTTATTTTCTGATAAATCAAGAATGCTCGGTTTGAACAAATTGTGAAGATTCTGAGCTGGAAAAAAAATATCCAAAATAAAAAGATTTTCAGGTAAATATAAGTGTATTTTGAAGTATCCTTAGAGTAATTCTGAGTCCTTATCTTTTCTGCTAATGGTAATGCAAACCGTAACTTACCTTGGTTGTTTTAATTATTTCCAAAGGTACTGGCATAGGTGTAACCCCCAACTCCCATGGTTATGACCAAATGTACAAATAGTCATTGGTCCTAGGTTCTGATTACTAAATTATAGGTCACATAGAGCCTAAAGCAGCATGGAATGTAGTTGTTATGCCATCATGGAAAAGTCACTTGGTCTCTCTAAGCCTCAGTGTTTTCCTCTATAGAATGAGGTAGTTGGACCAGATAAAATGTAAAGTTGCTTCAATTATAAAATGCCCTTAATCACACAGAAGAAAGAGAGGAACAACAACAAAAAAATGAAATGAGCTGGTTTTGTGTACCTCAACTTAGATGATTTTATTGACATAATAGATGTTAATAATAAAAGCATATTGTATTAGTATACAAATGGCTTCCTTATCTTTACAGACTCCCAGCACTTTTATAGTTTGACTTTAAAAGGATTATATCACCCTTTTCCAAATCTAAATTTTAAAATATGTCTGAATTACACATGTATAGTTTATCCAGAAATATGCAGTAAGCTTCCCCATAGTTGATATGCATCCCTTTGGGAACTCAGAAGACTCAACTGTCATATTAATGCACATTAACTTTCTCTTAACAGGGCAGTGGGTAGGAATTAGAGGCCTAAGAACATTTAAGAAAGTCTTTCTCTATCACTTCTCAATCATTTATTTATTCATTCATTTAAACATTTATTAGGCAGTAAATTCTATGACAGGTTGTGTGGCAAGTTTCAAGCACCTATTATTTTCTTCCTCTTCACTTTCTCTAAAAGTTATAACATGTTCAATTATTCTGAAATTCTCTCCTATTATCCATCAGTAGTTGATTTTAATTCTAATATGGGGAACATTTATTAAAAAACAATCAGCCTATTATCTAGAAGTTTTTAGAATCATTTCCAATTTTCCTTAAAATTAAATTTCCATTTCAGATTTTTAGTGAGAATTGGTATAATAGTATCACATGTTCTGTTATACTGTCCTCATTCAGTTAGTAAAAACAAGTTACCTAGGATTTTCACTGCATTTGCAGACAAGCAGCAGGAGACTAATTGGATTTCTTCAGGGTTGCCAGGGTTCACTTGACAGAGACTTGACTATGTAATCCATTCCCTCTCCAATGTCAGATAAGTGGGTCAAACGAAATAAATTAATCTTCTTCAGGTTTGTCAGACCTTCAGCTGAAAAAAGGTAGAAAGGAATGCATTAGAATATCAAGTTAATTTGATTTAAGCATAGATCAATGAACTGAAAAGAAAGCAAAGAATAATTGTGCAGAGACATTCCCATGTTCTTCCTGTAAGTTAAGGTCACTTCCTGCAGTTAACTTAACTTACAAAGAGAGCTGTTTTTCTTTCAACTCTCACTTTCCAGTCTCTTGGGCCACACAAAAATCACTTATATGGAGGTTATTCTCCTAACAGTGTGAGAAAAACTATAGTAAATTTGTAGTCTTTTTAATGGGCATCAGTGTATACTCTTATCCTAATTATTTTCACGGATGAAGGCTTCTAGGAGCACTCTCCTTTCAATCTTCTCAAAAATCTTTTTTTTTTAAATTTTTTTATTGCATTTTAGGTTTTGGGGTACATGTGAAGAACATGCAAGATTGCTGCATAGGTACACACATGGCAGTGTGATTTGCTGCCTTCCTCCCCGTCACCTATATCTGTCATTTCTCCCCATGCTATCTCTCCCCACCTCCCCACCCCCGTCCCTCCCCCATTTCCCCCCAACAGACCCCAGTGTGTAGTGCTCCCCTCCCTGTGTCCATGTGTTCTCATTGTTCAACACCCGCCTATGAGTGAGAACATGCGGTGTTTGATTTTCTGCTCTTGTGTCAGTTTGCTGAGAATGATGGTTTCCAGGTTCATCCATGTCCCTACAAAGGACACAAACTCATCGTTTTTGATGGCTGCATAATATTCCATGGTGTATATGTACCACATTTTCCCTGTCCAGTCTATCATCGATGGGCATTTGGGTTGGTTCCAGGTCTTTGCTATTGTAAACAGTGCTGCAATGAACATTCGTGTGCATGTGTCCTTATAGTAGAAAGATTTATAATCCTTTGGATATATACCCAGTAATGGGATTGCTGGGTCAAATAGGATTTCTATTTCTAGATCATTGAGGAATCGCCACACTGTCTTCCACAATGGTTGAACTAATTTACACTCCCACCAACAGTGTAAAAGTGTTCCTATTTCTCCACATCCTCTTCAGCATCTGTTGTCTCCAGATTTTTTAATGATTGCCATTCGAACTGGCGTGAGATGATATCTCAATGTAGTTTTGATTTGCATCTCTCTAATGACTAGTGATGATGAGCATTTTTTCATATGTTTGTTGGCTTCAAAATTCTTAAACAGTGGGAGGCTGAGTTCAGAGGGGTAGCATGGAGATTTGGTTCCTTGGAGTGCTTCTAGTACCACTGTCTACAGCCTCAAAAGTCTGGCCTGGGACTCATGACATGGGGCCTGCCTGATGCTTTAGAATGAAGACCACATCCACTGCAGCATATTTAACCAGAAGAAAGATTTACCTTATATCAACAGTCCAATTGGAAACATTCTAAGATATCCCTCATTCTTAGGTCTAAAGCTAATGTGGAGTTTAGGATTGATTAGGCCTCACTTTGTGTCATTAAAATATTGCCTTATCTCACAGGGTTGAGAAAGAATTTAAAATTTTTTTTTAATTGCCTTATCTTTATGGTACTCTAGCCTACAGGAAAGAAATATATGATTTTAATGGCCAGGCACCGTGGTTCGCACATGTAATCTCAGCACTTTAGGAGGCCAAGGCGGGCAGATCACCTTAGGTCAGGAGTTTGACCAGCCTGGCCAACATGGCGAAACCCCATCTCTAGTAAAAATACAAACATTAGCTGGGCATGGTGGCACATACCATACCTGTAATCTCAGCTACTTGAGAGGCTGAGAGGCATTAGAATCACCTGAACTCAGGAGGCAGAGGTTGCAGTGAGCCAAGATCACACTACTGTACTCCAGCCTGGGTGACAGAGATTCTGTCTCAAAAAAAATATATGATTTTAATAATGTCAATCTTACAGAGCTTTTGGGAAGATTGCAGATAATGTAACATATTTAATGTGGTACTTGGCACATTAAATATGTTACATTATCTGCAACCAAGTACTCAATAAATGTTCATTGTTGTCATGGGAGTACATACAGGTTAGAGGTTATGAGCATGAACTTTGCAGTCAGTTCCTGGATCCCCTACTTAATAATTACAAACTTGGGCAAGTTATCCAATCTTTTAGCTGAAGCTTTAGGGATCATTATACCTATGTACTAGGACTGTTGTGGGGATTCAACGGAATGAGGTTTATAAAATTGCCTAGGCTAGTGTCTAATCTATTGCACAGTAACTCTTTAATAAAGAGTAAATTATTACTAATATAATTAGACTGATATAGTCAAGTTCATATTTTGATTTCTTTTTTTTGGAGACGGAGTTTCGCTCTTGTTGCCCAGGCTGGAGTGCAATGGCGCGATCTCGGCTCACCGCAACATCTGCCTCCTGGGTTCAGGCAATTCTCCTGCCTCAGCCTCCTGAGTAGCTGGGATTACAGGCACACGCCACCACGCCCAGCTAATTTTTTGTATTTTTAGTAGAGACGGGGTTTCACCATGTTGACCAGGATAGTCTCGATCTCTTGACCTCTTGATCCACTTGCCTCGGCCTCCCAAAGTGCTGGGATTACAGGCTTGAGCCACCGCGCCCGGCCCAGACATTTTGATTTCTTAATAGCAAAACCAGACTGTCCTCAAGAGGTATGTTTTGACCTCTTTCTACCAGTTGGTAAGATCTTGAGCAAGGTAATAAGCCATTTTAGGTTCCAGTGACGTTTTCTGTCAAATGAATGAGTTGAATTAGATGCTCTCTTCCAGCTCTGATTTTCTGTGTAATTTATACACATGCAATAAGTGTTTATTGAACACTGAATTAATTTGAGTATTCTCACATAGGCCATATAAGGAAAAAGAAGTCAGCCACCATGTTTCATTTTTGTTTTTGTTTTTGTTTCAAGATGTTTCTATCACCTAGGCTGGAGTGCAGTGGAGCAATCTTGGCTCACTGCAAACTCTTCCTCCTGGGTTCAAGTGATTCTCCTGCCTCAGCCTCCCGAGTAGCTGGGATTACAGGTGTGTACCACCATGCTTGATAATTTTTGTATTTTTAGTAGAGATGGGGTTTCACCATGTTAGCCAGGCTGGTCTCGAACTCCTGAACTCAGCGGATCTGCCAGCCTTGACCTCTCAGAGTGCTGGAATTACAGGTGTGAGTCACCATGCCCAGGCTTCAGCCATGTCATGATTATAGGATAGAGTTGTCTTTTGACAAGAAGCAGGATAAGAAATAACAAGGTGGCTGGGTGTGGTGGCTCATGCTTATAATCCCAGCACTTCGGGAGGCCGAGGCGGGTGGATCACAAGGTGAAGAGATCGAGACCATCCTAGTCAACATGGTGAAACCCCGTCTCTACTAAAAATACAAAAATTAGCTGGGCATGGTGGCGCAAGCCTGTAGTCCCAGCTACTCAGGAGGCTGAGGCAGGAGAACTGCTTGAACCCAGGAGGCGGAGGTTGCGGTGAGCCGAGATCACACCATTGCACTCCAGCCTGGGTAACAAGAGTGAAACTCCTCAAAAAAAAAAAAAAAAAAAATTAGTCAGTGTTTGTAAGGGGGATGAGAGTAGGGAAAGAGATACTCCTATATTTGGTCAGTGGAGGCATAACTTGTTGCTACCTCTTGCAGGACAAGTTAGCAATATGTATTTAAAAGCTTGGGACATTTATTCCTCAGTTATTTCTCTTTAAAACTTTTATCCTAAGAAAATACATGTTACTGTTTTAAAAGGTATAACAACAAGGTTGTTCATCATGGTACTCTCTATGATCATGAAAATTTGGAAAGAAAATGTCTAAAGATGAAGAGTTTGCTTTTATAAAAACTGTAATATAGGCCAGGCGTGGTGGCTCAAGCCTGTAATCCCAGCACTTTGGGAGGCCGAGGCGGGTGGATCACGAGGTCAAGAGATCAAGACCATCCTGGTCAACATGGTGAAACCCTGTCTCTACTAAAAATACTAAAAAAAAAAAAAAAATTAGCTGGGCATGGTGGCGTGTGCCTGTAATCCCAGCTACTCAGGAGGCTGAGGCAGGAGAATTGCCTGAACCCAGGAGGCGGAGGTTGCGGTGAGCCGAGATCGCGCCATTGCACTCCAGCCTGGGCAACAAGAGCGAAACTCTGTCTCAAAAAAAAAACAAAAAACAAAAAACAAAAAAAACTATAATATAATCCATTAAACAAAAGGCAACATTCAAAATGTGGTAGAAAAAAATGTGATGTTGATCTTAAGAGTCTGTTAAAGAGAAGAAAAATAGATGGTGACATTAGAAAATGCTAATGTTGCCGGGCACAGTGGCTCACACCTGTAATCCCAGCATTTTGGGAGGCCAAGGTGGGCAGATCATTTGAGGTCAGGAGTTTGAGACCAGCATGTTTAACATAGTGAAACCTCATCTCTACTAAAAATACAAAAATTAGCTGCATATTGTGGCATGTGCCTGTAATCCCAGCTACTCAGGAGGCTGAGGCAGGAGAATTGCTTGAAACTGGGAGGCGGAGGTTACAGTGAGCCGAGGTCGTGCCACTGCACTCCAGCCTGGGCAACAGAACTAGACTCCATCTGGAGACAGGGGGAAGAAATTGTTAATGTTATAAAACAATGTCTATGAAAGAATATATTTTATGTATAAAATGCTTAGAAAATGGATTGTAAGGATTTATACCAAGATGGTAACAGTGGTTAATTCTACAGGTAATATAATAGGGTGATTTTTTTTTTTTTACAATAAGTATGTATCAATTCTAAGATAAGAAAAGGTTATAGGCCAGGAATGGTGGCTCACCCCTGTAATCCAAGTACTTTGGGAGGCTGAGGTGAGCAGATCACCTGAGGTCAGGAGTTCAACATGGTGAAACCCCGTCTCTACTAAAAATACAAAATTAGCTGGGCATGGTGGTGCATGCCAGTAATCCCAGCTACTTGAGAGGCTGAGGCAGGAGAATTGCTTGAACCCAGGAGGTGGAGGTTCCAGTGAACTGAGATCGTGTCATTGCATTCCAGCCTGGACAACTAGAGCGAAACTCCATCTCAAAAAATAAAAAAGAAAGAAAAATAAGAAAAAGTTACAAACATAAAAACAAAACAAAACAAGCAGTGGGTTTCCCACTTAGGTTTGAGCCATTTCAATGATCATAGTTAAAGTTGCTTAGTATGAGTAAACTAGCCCACTTAAACAATATTTACAACATGAAAGTGAGATTGGCAAAATAAATATAGCATATGTACCACTCCTTGAAAGTCAACAAACCCATTATTTAAAGAACCAAACAGTACATGAATTCCTGAAACAAGATTCCAGAAACAAGAATCATGGTCTGAAAATATTCTGAGCTTCCCGAAGTCTGGACTGAAAAAATGGAGACCTAAAATGAGGATATATTCTCAGTAACAGAGCGGTTAATGAGAATGAAGCAGCACCAGCATAAGTACATCAGAAACCGCTCTTTGGCTGGGTGCAGTGGCTCAAGCCTGTAATCTAGCACTTTGGGAGGCCAAGGTGGCAGATCACCTGAGGTCAGAAGTTCGACACCAGCCTAGCCAACATGGTGAAACCCCTTTCTACTAAAAATACAAAAATTAGCTGGGCATGGTGGCACATGCCTATAGTCAGTTACTTGGGAGGCTGAGGCAGGAGAATCACTTCTACCTGGGAGGCAGAGGATGCACTGAGCTGAGATCATGCCACTACACTTCAGCCCAGGTGACGGGGAGACTCCGTCTCAAAAAAACAAAACAAAACAAAACAAAACTGCTCTTTTACTTTTTGTTGTGACTACTGCAAGTTAATTGCTAAGATGTCAAATTCAGTTGATAACCAGAGCTGTATAAAGTGACCCAGTAATTTGTGCAGAGGCAAAATAAACAAGAAAAACCAACCCACAAAACAAAGCAAAACAAAATGAGGCCTTAAAGAGGGGAATAATGAACTCTGAAGAGTAGCAAAAAGACAATGAGGTTTCATAGCATTGTGGTTGAGACTCTGGAATCAGATTACTGGGCTTCATGTGCTGGTTCTACCACTTAGTATCTCCTATATCTTTGGCAAGTGACTAACTTTTTTTTCTGCTTCATGCTCCTTATTTGTAAAGTGGGAAAATAATAGTACCTACCTCATTAAGTTTTCATGAGGATTAAATCAATTAATGTTAACCATTTACCACAATGCCTGGCACATAGTAAGTACCATGGAAGTATTAGCTGTAAGCATTGTGTGTTACTATTAATCTTATATATCTCATTGGAGTTTCAGAAAGAGGGGAGACAGAAAACAGAGTAGCAGAAAGGCTGGAAGAGATAATAATTAAAAATTTAAAGAACGAAAGAAAGACAACCACCTTGAGGTTCAGGTTACCCAACTAATTTGAAGCAGTACAAACAAAAATAAAATCATACCACACTTATGTCGGTATCCACACCCGGCACATAGAAAGGCAAAGACATTAAAAGTAACCAAAGAAAACACAACAACAACAAACAAACAAACAAACAAAAAGTAACCAAAGAAGACTGGGCGTGATGGGTCACGCCTGTAATCTCAACACTTTGGGAGGATCACTTGAGGACAGGAGTTCAAGACCAGCCTGGCCAACGTGCCAAAATCCTGTCTCTACTAAAAATACAAAAATTAGTCAGACATGGTGGCAAACGCTTGTAATCTCAGCTATTCAGGAGGGTAAGGCTCAAGAACAGCTTGAACTCCAGAGGCAGAGGTTGCAGTGAGCTGAGATTGAGCCACTGTGAGACAGAGTGAGACTCTGTCTCAAAAAAAAAAAAAAAGAAAAGTTAATTATAACTGATAAGAAAATAAAAATAGAGGATATAACTTCCAAACTAGTAAAAGGAAAAAATAAAATGAGAAAAAATAATTGCTGTAAAGAAATAAGAAAACAAAACAAAATTTAATTTAAAAGGCAGAACAAGCTGGGTGCAGTGGCTCATGCCTGTAATCCCAGCACTTTGGTAGACAGAGGCGGGCGGAGCACAAGGTCAAGAGATTGAAACTATTGTGGCTAACAGTGAAACCCTGACTCTACTAAAAATACAAAAATTAGCTGGGTGTGGTGGTGAGCACCTGTGGTCCAAACTACTCAGGAGGCTGAGACAGGAGAATACCTTGAACCCAAGAGGCAGAGGTTGCGACGAGCCGAGATCACGCCACTGCACTCCAGTCTGGGCAACAGAGTAAGCCTCGGTCTCAAAAAAAAAAAAAAAAAAAAAAAAGCCGGGCGCGGTGGCTCAAGCCTGTAATCCCAGCACTTTGGGAGGCTGAGGCGGGTGGATCATGAGGTCGAGAGATCAAGACCATCCTGGTCAACATGGTGAAACCCCGTCTCTACTAAAAATACAAAAAATTAGCTGGGCATGGTGGCTCGTGCCTGTAATCCCAGCTACTCAGGAGGCTGAGGCAGGAGAATTGCCTGAACCCAGGAGGCGGAGGTTGCGGTGAGCCGAGATCGCGCCATTGCACTCCAGTCTGGGTAACAAGAGCGAAACTCTGCCTAAAAAAAAAAAAAAAAAAAAAAAAAAAAAGAAGAAGAAGATTAAAAAAAGAAAAAAGAACAATAAAATGTTCTTTACAAAACAACATCTAGGCCGGGCACGGTGGCTCAAGCTTGTAATCCCAGCACTTTGGGAGGCCGAGGTGGGTGGATCACGAGGTCGAGAGATCGAGACCATCCTGGTCAACATGGTGAAACCCCGTCTCTACTAAAAATACAAAAAATTAGCTGGGCATGGTGGCACGTGCCTGTAATCCCAGCTACTCAGGAGGCTGAGGCAGGAGAATTGCCTGAACCCAGGAGGCGGAGGTTGCGGTGAGCTGAGATCGCGCCATTGCACTCCAGCCTGGGTAACAAGAGCAAAACTCCGTCTCAAAAAAACAAAAACAAACAAACAAACAAAAAAAACAAAAAACAAAATAAAAAGAAAACATCTAGACTATAACGATATGGAAAGGTTAACATAAAAAGATGAGCAGATGGGAAAGATGTTCTCCTTTTCCTAATCATTCTATTTAAAATTGCAATTCATGCCTTCCCCTTGCTGGCCAATACGTCCTAGATTGCCCCTTAAATGTTGGTGTTGCTGAGAGTTTCATTGTTGGCACTTTTCTCTCACTCAGCACACTCTTCCTGGGCAATCTCACCCATACTGACAAAGGTAATTACCAATCATGCACTGATGACTATGCTGTGATAGCTCAGAACCCTACCTTGAGCACTGGGTCTTTATAAGGCAAAGAATAACTAGATAGCTTAAGCTACATATTCTTAAATTTATAATGCTCAAAACTTTTCCCTCCCACCAGACTAGTGCCTCTTCTTCTATTTGTTCACTTGATTAATAGCACTTTCCACCACTGAAGTAAAAAAAAAACATGAAGTCACCTTATCCTCCTTTTCAGATTCTTCACTCTCAATCCCTTCCAACTAATCACTAAGTCCTGGGATTTTTAACCTTAATACCTGTAATATCAGTTTCCTCTTTCCCAGCCCCAGTGCTGCAACTGTAGTCCAAGGCTTACTTTCTAAAAAATTTTTTGGCCGGGCGCGGTGGCTCAAGCCTGTAATCCCAGCACTTTGGGAGGCCGAGGTGGGTGGATCACAAGGTCAAGAGATCGAGACCATCCTGGTCAACATGGTGAAACCCCGTCTCTACTAAAAATACAAAAAAGTAGCTGGGCATGGTGGCACATGCCTGTAATCCAAGCTACTCAGGAGGCTGAGGCAGGAGAATTGCCTGAACCCAGGAGGCGGAGTTTGCGGTGAGCCGAGATTGTGCCATTGCACTCCAGTCTGGGTAACAAGAGCGAAACTCCGCCTCAAAAAAAAAAAAAAAAAAAAATTACAAAAAATTAGCTGGGCATGGTGGCACGTGCCTGTAATCCCAGCTACTCAGGAGGCTGAGGCAGGAGAATTGCCTGAACCCGGGAGGTGGAGGTTGCAGTGAGCGGAGATCGCGGCATTGCACTCCAGCCTGGGTAACAAGAGTAAAACTCTGTCTTAAAAAAAAAAAAAAAAAAAAAAAAATTTAAAGATGGAGTCTCACTCTTTTGCCCAGGGTGGAGTGCAGTGGCGCAATCTTGGCTCACTGCAACCTCCACCTCCTGGGTTCAAGTGATTCTCCTGCCTCAACCTCCTGAGTAGCTGGGACTACAGTTGCATACCGCCACGCCAGGCTAATTTTTATATTTTCAGTAGAGACAGGGTTTCTTTTTTTTTTTTTTTTTTTTTTTAGACGGGGTTTCGCTCTTGTTACCCAGGCTGGAGTGCAATGGCGCGATCTCGGCTCACTGCAACCTCCGCCTCCTGGGTTCAGGAAATTCTCCTGCCTCAGCCTCCGGAGTAGCTGGGATTACAGGCACGGGCCACCATGCCCAGCTAATTTTTTGCACCTTTAGTAGAGACAGGGTTTCACCATGTTGACCAGGATGGTCTCGATCTCTTGACCTCGTGATCCACCCGCCTCGGCCTCCCAAAGTGCTGGGATTACAGGCTTGAGCCACCGTGCCCGGCGAGACAGGGTTTCACTATGTTGGTCAGGCTGGTCTCAAATTCCTAACTTCAGGTGATCTGCCCACCCCGGTCTCCTAAAGTGCTAGGATTACAGGCCTGAGCCACCTTCCCAGCCCAAGGCTTACTTGTATATCTGCAAAAGTCTTCATACAAGTCCTCTGCTCTGCAAGTCAAAATATCCATAGTATATTTTCAGTAATCATTCTAAGAGGTCCATATGACTATGCCATTCCCTTGTTCTATAGTAATTTCTTTCTGCCATCATTTCCGGGAAAAGTAAATTCCATAGCATAGCATATGAGATATTTCACAATCTCTTCTTTACCTATCTGTGGCAGGCTTAACTGTAGCCCTTCTTTCCCATAAAACCTAAGCCTCCAAGTAAACTGAATGACTTCCAGTTGCTCAAGTCCACTAAATGATCTCTGTAATGCTATGACCCAGGTTGCCAGAAGTCATATCTCCTGGCTTTCAAATTTTTACTCATAGCCCAAGGCCTGAACCTGGGGAGGCCAAGGCAGGAGGATCGCTTAAGGCCAGGAATTCAAACACCAGTCTGGGCAACACAGGAAGACCTCTTGTCTTTCAAAAAATGTTTTAGAGAATTAGCTGAGCGGCCAGGCACAGTGGTTCATGTCTGTAATCCCAGCACTTTAGGAGGCTGAGGCAGGTGGCTCACGAGGCCAAGAAATCAAGACCATCCTGGACAATATGGTGAAACCCCGTCTCTGCTAAAATACAAAAAATTAGCCAGGTGTGGTGGCGCATGCCTGTATCCCAGCTACTCGGGAAGCTGAGGCAGGGGAATCGCTTCAACCAGGGAGATGGAGGTTGCAGTGAGCTGAGATCGCAACACTGCGCTCCAGCCTGGTGACAAAGCAAGACTCCATCTTTTGTTTGTTTATTTGTCTGGTTTTTTTTTTTTTTTTTTTTTTTGAGACGGAGTTTTGCTCTGGTTACCCAGGCTGGAGTGCGATGGCGCTATCTTGGCTCACCGCAACCTCCACCTCCTGGGTTCAGGCAATTCTCCTGCCTCAGCCTCCTGAGTAGCTGGGATTACAGGCACGTGCCACCATGCCCAGCTAATTTTTTGTATTTTTTTTTTAGTAGAGACGGGGTTTCACCATGTTGACCGGGATGGTCTCGATCAAGACTCCATCTTAAAAAAGAAAAAAGAAAATTAGCCAAGCATGGTGGCAGAGGCCTGTGGATGGCTGAGTTGGGAGGATTGCCTGAGCCCAGAAATGTGAGGTTATAAGGAGCTATTACTGCATCACTGCACTCCGGCCTGGGTAAAAGAGCGACTTTGTCTCTAAAGCAAATAAACAAAAACAAACAAAACCACTACGTTTACTCATCCTTTAAGTACCAACATGTTGCCTCCTGTGAGAAAATTTTCCAGAAATACCATTTAACACACTAATGGCCATGTCTCTCCATTGCTCTATTGCTGATCAATTGTGTGTATCTCCACGTCGGCCTCCGAATATACCCCAACCCCTCTTGCTTCAAGTTGGAAGCCACATTTATGTAGCTTGAATATTAAAGTTATGTATGTAAAAATTTAAGATCAGGTGAGTTTGTAAACTTCGGCAAGCTTATCATCGGACAGGACCTTCCAGTGGAAAGAGCACTCGACTATAAGTTAGGAGATTTAGGTGTCATCCTAAATCTGATTCTACCTTACTTTCTTTGGCCTCAGTTTCCTCCCTCATAAAGGAATGTAGCTACAACCCTAGTCTCTGAGTGGCTATTTACGGCTTGTTTGCCTTTTTATTTTCATTCTCCGATCCATTCCCCTACATCTTACAGGTGAGGAAACTGACACTCAGGCATTATATATAACTTAGTCAAGATCCTATACAATTCATCAATGACTAATGGCAATGGAATCTTGAGAACCCGGACGGAGGCTAACCTATAAAAACCTGCCTAGTTATTTTTTTTTTTTTTTATTTTTTTTTTTTTTTCTTTAAAGACAGGGTTTCACCACGTTGGTCAGGCTGGTGTTGAACTCTCGACCTCAGGTGATCCACCCGCCTTGGCCTCCAAAGTGCTTGGATTACAGGCGTGAGCCACCACGCCCGGCAAAACCTGCCTAGTTCTAAAATTATTTAACCCATCCACTTAACACAAACGGAGGAAATGGGTAAAGAAAACGCCAGGAAAGATGGGACTTAAAGGAACAAAAACACCCAAGGAGGAGAAGGCGGCCTCAGAGTTCCACAAATTACAAGCACATTTCCTGTCCTGGGTAAACTTCCGGAATCAACAACAGGAAGACCCAATCAGAATCTTCCTCCGAGAGCCAATGGGCGAGCACATTACAAAGAGCCAATCCCAGCGGCGCTGTCACTGTTATGGGCCTGTCAGGGCGCCGGCGTCGTGGTGCTTGGGTGGTCACCATCGGGAGGACTTTGGTGGGGCAGTGTCAGGACAGCTCAGCGGCTAACTGTGCCCGTCTGCGGCCTCACTCCCGGCTTGCACATCCGGACTCGCAGGCCGCACTGTCGGGCGAGCGTGCGGGTCGGCGCCGGGGCCGCCTTGGGATCTGAGCTCAGCCGCAGCTTCCTCTACCGCGGCCGGCTCGGAGGGGCCGCGAGATGCAGCCTCCGGGCCCGCCCCCCGCCTACGCCCCCACTAACGGGGACTTCACCTTTGTCTCCTCAGCTGACGCGGAAGGTGAGGCTGAGCCCCAAGAAGGCCCGTCGCCCGGAGGACGCCAGGGCCCGACGCCGTGGGGTCTTTGTGGTGCCGAGGCGGTCGTGGCCGGGTGGGGACGGGCAGGAAGCTGTCTGGTGACGGCTGCTCACCGCGCTTGTCGGGCCGTCCGAGAGGCCCCGAAGGACCGAGGCAGGGTTGTAGGGAGCTGTCTTTAAAGGCATCAAGTTACTCGGTCTACCCCTAGCTTTGCCCGCACCGTCTGGTGGCTGGTTTTCTGGGTGCCTTATTCACTTCAGGTGGACCCACGGAACCCTAAGATTCTGTTTCTGAAATGACTCGCCGTTACTCAGAAAAAGGACAGATGGGCCAAGGGAGATCTCAAAGACTGAGAAAAAGCAAGGAGGGCTGTTTTCTTCTGTTGTGTATCAATAGATAACTTTTTGGGGGTGTCTGGGATCAGATTCTCCACTGCAAATAAGGGGAGATAACTTTTTGGAGGCACCTGGTATCAGATTCGGCACTGCAAGTACAAACTAAGTGGTTTTTACGGAATTTGATGTCTTGCCCAAGTCCCCGTTTTCCTCCCATTTTGTCGTGTTTCACCTAGGTTATCAAAGAAATTAACCAAGATATGTTGGAAACGTCGCGTAGTCCAGCAGTGTGTTCCCAGTAGCCCCTACAGATTTCCTTGTACGATTCGGAGGAAGCGATTGTGCTAGAGATACTCTTCTACAGCATAGGAGAATGTTTTCCTCCTTTTCTCAGTTCCCTACCCAACTCACAATCTGGGTCTTATTTTGCTAGTCATTTTCAAATTTTACTTTTATTAGACTTTGTGCCTAATTTTTTCCAGTGACCAGACTTACTGCCTGCTATGAAAAAGTAAATTATGTTTACAGAAATTTCAGTCGGAAAAAGAACCTAGATTTTCCTAAGAAATTTTATGGTGTATCAGTATAGTTTATTTTACCTTTTGTTTTGTTTTTCTTGTTGTGCTATTTGAGTGGCATTGCTTTTAAAAAAAATAGTAATGGTCGTAATTTAAGATGTACAATAAAATTTTTGTCTGTCAAAGGGAACATAGCTGATACATTTATTTTTTTCTTTTTCTTTCTTATTTTATTTTATTTTATTTTTTATAGAGACGGGGTTTCACCGTGTTAGTCAGGCTGGTCTTGAACTCCTGACTTCGTGATCCACCCACCTCGGGCTCCCAAAGTGCTGGGATTACAGGCGTGAGCCACCTCGCCCGGCCTTTGTTTTTGTTTTTTTCAGATAGGGTCTCACTCTGTTGCCCAGGCTGGAGTGCCAGTGGCTTGATCATAGCTCACTGTAACCTCAGACTTCTGGGCTCCAGTGATCCTCCTGCCTCAGTCTCCTGAATAGCTGGGACTGCAGGTCTGCGCCACCATGCACAGCTTATTTGTAAACTTTTTGTAGATCTCACTGTGTTGCCTAGTCTTGTCTCAGACTCTTGGCCTCCCAGATTGCTAGGAATACAGATGTGAGCTATCAGCCCAGCATAAATTTCCTTTAAACTTATATACACCAACCCCAAATATTTCAGTTTCATCTATGTTTGGTAGCATGGTACTTATGGAAGTATATCAACTTTAATTTCCCAGGTTTAAAGTTTCCTTTGAGTATCAGAACATGATGTTTGTTCAAACTCATGTTTCTTTTTTTTTTTGAGACAGAGTTTCGCTCCTTACCCAGGCTGGAGTACAATGGCGCTAACTCGGCTCACCGCAACCTCTGCCTCCTGGGTTCAGGCAATTCTTCTGCCTCAGCCTCCTGAGTAGCTGGGATTGCAGGCACGTGCCACCATGTGCAGCTAACTTTTTGTATTTTTAGTAGAGACGGGGTTTCACCTTGTTGACCAGGATGTTCTTGATCTCTTGACCTCGTGATCCACCCGCCTCAGCCTCCCAAAGTGCTGGAATTACAGGCTTGAGCCACCGCACCCGGCCCAAACTCATGTTTCTATGTTACTCAGACTTCTCTATATTTTCTCAGAAGACATATAGCTCTGTATATCCAAGGAGATATATGTGTATTCAAAATAATACATTCATACAATATGATATTGTACAGTTTAAGTTTAGAGTATTTTAAAAATAATACTCATTTGCTCTTTTCTTTTCTTTTTCGAGACAGAGTTTCACTCCCTCTGCCCAGGCTTGAGTGCAGTGGCTTGATCTCAGCTCACTGCAGTCCCCTGCCTCTTGGGCTGAAGTCGATTCTCCCACCTCAGCCTCCTAAGTAGCTGGGACTGCAGGTGTACGCCACCATGCCTGGTTAATATTTGTATTTTTTGTAGAGACAGGGTTTCACCATGTTGTACAGGCTGGTCTCGAACTCCTGGGCTCAAGCAATCCACCTACCTTGGCCTCCCAAAGTGCTGGGATTACAGGGGTGAGCCACCGTGCCCAGCCTCGTTTGTTCTTTTTTTATATATATATATAATTTATTTATTTTACTTTAGGTGCATATTATAACTGGCATTTCTCCCCATGTTATCCCTCCCCACCCCCACTCCGCACCCCTCATTGCCTCTCCCCTACCCCTCCAATTGTCCCCTGTGTGTGATGCTCCTCTCCCTGAGTCCACGTGTTCTCATTTTTCAACACCCACCTATGAGTGAGAACATACGGTGCTTGGGTTTCTGTGCTTGGGTCAGTTTTCTGAGAATGATGGTTTCCAGATTCATCCAAGTCCCTACAAAGGACACGAACTCATTGTTTTTTATGGCTTCGTAGTATTCCATGGTGTATATGTACCACATTTCCTTTGTCCAGTCTATCATTGATGGGCATTTGGGTTGGTTCCAGGTCTTTACTGTTTGTTCTTTATGAGACTCCCAGTGAGCTTTATTATTCCTGAGGCTAGCTGGGTGTGGTGGCTTACACCTGTAATCCCAGCACTTTGGGCCAAGGTGGGTGGATGGCTTGAGCTCCGAAGCTTGAGACCAGCCTGGGCAACATGGTGAAACCCCATCTCTACAAAAAATACAAAAAATTAGCCATCCATGGTGGTGCGTACCTGTAGCCCCAGTTAACTTGGAATCAGCTACTCTGAGGATCATTTGAGCTTGGGAGGTCTAGGCTGCAGTAAGCTGTGATTGTGGCACTGTGCTCCAGCCTAGACAACAAAGCAAGACACTGACTGAAAAAAAAGAAAAGAAACTGAGGCTTAGAGAGGTTTAGCAGCTTCTGCATGATAGATCTAGAATTAAGAGCTAGTCCATAGCCAGATGTAGTAGCATGTGCCTATAATCTCAGCTACTCAGTAGGGTGAAAGCAGGATAATCACTTGAGCCCAGAAGTTTGAGGTCACCGGGGGAACATAGTGAGACCTCATCTCAAAAAAACAAAAGAGCTAGTCTGCTGTCTCCTCAAGTTTCTTTCTGCTGCCTCTTTCTTAAATTTTTCTAAATTAAATTGTGTATCTGAAGTATAGAAGAGTCCTGGATTTGCATCCTGGCTTTACCAATTACTATCCATTGTGATCTTGGGTGAGTTACAAGTTATTTACCCTTTTCCTCATGTACAAATTGGGAATAAGAATACCCAAGTGCTCAAATATTTTGCAAATGTAAAACATTTACTACTGTATCTGGCAGAGTTGAATGTTGAACATATGTGAGTAATGATGTTGCTGCTTGGGTTTCAGTGTTAACTGACCCCACACTTACTTTTGTATTGTTTTCCACTGTGAACATTTTACTGTACAACTCCAAGTCTTTTTCCTGGTTTCTACACGTCATATAAATTCTTTATTCTCCCCCCACCCCCCCCTTTTTTTTTTTAAGACAGGGTTTCACCATGTTGGTCAGGCTGGTCTTGAACTCCCGACCTCAGGTAATCCACTTGCCTTGGCCTCCAAAGTGCTTGGATTACAGGCATGAGCCACTACGCCCGGCCGCTTCTTCCCTTTTTATGCTGTTTTTCTAACCATGAATATTTTCAGCTTATAGATGTTTTCTGTGTATATCCTTCCTTCTGGAATCTCTCCAAGTCCCTCATTCTTACTGATACCTATTCTTCCTGTTTGTCCACACATACCCTTTGTTCTAAAATGTGCTTTGATGTTTTTTCTCCATTTGATTCTGATTTTCATGCTTAGAATGTCTTTCTCCTCCTAGCCTCAAGTTAAAACCTTAGACTGAATTCAAATGCTCTTTCCTTAGTAAAACTCACTTCAGCTGTCCTTCAGAAACAGAAACTTCCTAATATTTTCTATACCCAAGGACCTATCATAGAACCTGTAATATAAATACCACAAAAGAATGATTTGTTGAATTAATTACTTTTGCCTTTATTTATCTCATGTGTCTTTTTTTTTTTTTTTTTTTTTTTTTTTTTTTTTTTTTTGACAAGAGTTTTGCTGTTGCCCAGGCTGGAGTGCAGGTGCAGTAGGACAATCTTGACTCACTGCAACCTCCACCTCCCAGGTTCAAGTGATTCTCCTGCCTCAGCCTCCCTAGTAGCTGGGACTATAGGCTTGCCCCACCACACCCGGCTAATTTTTGTATTTTTAGGAGAGATGGGGTTTCACCATGTTGGCCAGTATGTCTTTAATAGATAGGACTTCAAACTCAGCACCACTTTAGATGATACAACCAGAAAAAATACTGAATTTAGGCCAGATTGGCCTCTTAAAGTAGCTATGTGGTTATTGAGCAAGTTACACAGCTTTTATAAGCTTCCATTTTGTCCCCTGTAAAATGAGAAACATATTTATGAGAAATCTTGTTAGAATTATTTAAGGTAATATGTATAAAAAATAAAATTCATTAAGTACAATTAAAAGGACTTGAAGTCAGATATGGTGGCACAGGCATGTAGTCTCAGCTACTTGGGAGACTGAGCCTGAGGAGGGGCTTGAGCCCAGGAATTTGAATCCAGATTGGGCAACACAGCAAAACTCATCTCTTAAAAAAAAAAAATTGATAAATAAAAGGACATGAACTGTGTGTGAATGAGGGTGTAAATGAATAAATAAATGAAGAGTGAAATCCAGACTGAATATTCAAGTCTATAAAACTACATCTAAAAGCAATAATGAAATGCATGTGTATAAAAGCAAGAATGTAATGATACTGTTTTTTATAAATAAATACATATATACATAACTCTCTTGACCTGATGCTGTGGCTCACACCTGTAATCCCAACACTTTGGGAGGCCAAGGTGGGTGGATTACCTGAGGTCAGGAGTTCGAGACCAGCCTGGCCAACATGGCAAAACCCTGTCTTTACTAAAATACAAAAATTAGCTGGGCATGCTGGCACATGCCAGTAATCTCATCTACTCAGGAGGCTGAGGCAGGAGAATTGCTTGAACCTATGAGGTGGAAGTTGCAGTGAGCTGAGATTGAGCCACTTCACTCCAGCCTGGGAGGCAGAGCAAGACTCTGTCTTAATAAATGAATGAATGAATGAATGAATGAATGCTTGGTGTGGTGGTGTGCGCCTGTAATCCCAATTTAGGAGGCTGGGACAGGAGAATCACTTGAACCCAGGAGGTGGAGGTTGCAGTGAGCTGAGATCATGCTGCTGCACTCCAGCCTGGCAACAGAGTGAGACTCCATCTCAAAAAAAAAAAAAAAAGAAAAGAAAAAACACTCTTTGTAGCTATTAGAAATAGACTTTTAGGGCCAGGCGCGGTGGCTCAAGCCTGTAATCCTAGCACTTTGGGAGGCCGAGGCAGGTGGATCACGAGGTCAAGAGATCGAGACCATCCTGGTCAACATGGTGAAACCCCGTCTCTACTAAAAATACAAAAAAATTAGCTGGGCATGATGGCATGTGCCTTTAATCCCAGCTGCTCAGGAGGCTGAGGCAGGAGAATTGCCTGAACCCAGGAGGCAGAGGTTGCGGTGAGCCGAGATCGCGCCATTGCACTCCAGCCTGGGTAACGAGCGAAACTCCGTCTCAAAAAAAAAGAAATTGACTTTTAATTAAATTCCATCTCTCTCATTTCAACTTAGATTAAGACAAAGAAGTAGCCAATTATTTTTAAGAGAATATTTTAACTACACAATTATGTGGTAACATCTACAGATACTATTTTTAAATTTTAGGTAATGAATTCAAATCTTATATTTTTCTCTAACTGAGTAAGCTCCTTTATAAAAATCTTTTTAGAATCATACAATGTATAACCTGGCAAGAACTTTGAATAGGAAACTGGGGCCCAGAAGACATGAATGATTTGCTGTATTAATTAGTAGCTGAGCTGGGACTTAGCTTCAGAATGTAAACATTTGTCAGAATTAATTGCAGGAGTTGTCACAAGCAGACCGGGATGTGACTCATAGAGTATTGTGCAAATTAAGCTGTTTGTACCGTAAATGAAAAACATCGGTTTTTTTTTTTTTTTTTTTTCTCTCCCAATGGAGTCCCACTCTATTACCCAGGCTAGAGTGCAGTGGCAGGATCTCAGCTCACTGCAACCTCTACCTCCTGTGTTCAAATGATTCTCCTGCCTCAGCCTTCCACATAGCTGGGATTACAGGTGTGCCCCACCATGCTTGGCTAATTTTTGTGTTTTTAGTAGAGATGGGGTTTCACCATGTTGGCCAGGCTGATCTTGCCTGACCTCAGGCGATCCACCCACCTTGGCCTCCCAAAGTGCTGGGATTACAGGCATGAGCCACTGCACCCGGCAGTTTTTTGTTTTTTTTTTAAGGAAGCTAACTTTGGTATTGGTTGGACATGATCTCCAGAGAAGTATCTGTCTGTGTTAGAGTGTTCTGGTTTGCTGTTTCCAAAAACATTTTTCTGAAATAATACTATAATCATGTGACTTGCACTGACAGTGTTGATGGTTGTTTATTAATGCATATTGTCTGTTCCTACAAATGTGCTTTTTCTTTTTAATCCCTATATGACCTCAAGCAAATCCTTAACTATTTCCATTTTTTCAACTAGAAAATGTGGCATTAGTACTACCATGATTATCTGTAATCTCTAAGATGCTGTGCAGACTACATGGAATTTATTTTTTTAACGTGGATAACTAAATCTCTTTATGTCGTTTTTTTTTTTTTTTTTTTGAGACAGAGTTTCGCTCTTGTTACCCAGGCTAGAGTGCAATGGCGCGATCTCGGCTCACCGCAACCTCTGCCTCCTGGGTTCAAGCAGTTCTCCTGCCTCAGCCTCCCGAGTAGCTAGGATTACAGGCATGTGCCACCATGCCCAGCTAATTTTTTGTATTTTTAGTAGAGACGGGGTTTTACCATGTTGACCAGGATGGTCTCGATCTCTTGACCTCGTGATCCACCCGCCTCGGCCTCCCAAAGTGCTGGGATTACAGGCTTGAGCCACGGCACTCGGCCAAATCTCTTTATGTCTTATCGCCAACCTAAAATAAAAAACAAAACAAAACATAGCCCTTTATTTATTTTTGCCGAAACTAAAGATGTATGATGTAATTATATGAAGAAAGGGAAATGTTGGCTGAAATGACAGGGGACTCTTACTCAGATTTATCTGAAGCTAAGCATTAATATATTAAACACTTAGCATAGATATGTGATGATTTAAGTGAAAGAATGTGTTAATAAATACACGAAGAAGTAGAGAAAAATATCTACAGATTGGTTTTTTTTTAGTAAGTAAATTGTCTAACAGTTTGCATATATACATATGTAATACCCCTGAAAAGAATTTATTCAGTTACTTTGTTCTGAGGCATGTGGTGTATATAAAAATGAAGGAATACAAATGATGTCATGTAATATATTTTGCATGTATTTTCCATTGAAATCTTAAAGAATTACTGTTTGAGTCTAGATTCTGGTACCAGTCTGGCTAATTAGCTGTGAAATTTTTTGTATGTCTTTTCACTTATTTTGTCTTTCATTTTATTCTTATAAAGTAAACGATCGTTTTTAGGTATCTATCAACTATAAAATTTGAAGATTATGTGCATAGTAGGTGTTCATGGAGATCTTCAAATGATAATTATTTTAGTTGAGTATCTGCTCACTTTGATTAAGATTCACGCATTGTACCTAGTTCATATAGTTTTGTCCTCTTTTCTCCTAAGATCTCAGTGGTTCAATAGCATCGCCAGATGTCAAATTAAATCTTGGTGGAGATTTTATCAAAGAATCTACAGCTACTACCTTTCTGAGACAAAGAGGGTATGGCTGGCTTCTGGAAGTTGAAGATGATGATCCTGAAGATAACAAGCCACTCTTGTATGTAAAAATAATAATACGTATTTTTTGGGTTTTTTAGAGCTAATCTGAGGGATGATTATATTCTTGTTATTTAGCAAGAAAACATTAACCTTTTTTGGTCAAAAGCTATAGGAGTTGTCAATTTTACTAGTAATTTAAAAAACTAAAATAATGAGAGAATATTTTTTAACAAGTTAAAAGACAAAAAATAAAAGAATGATAATCCTCAGCTGGGCGCGGTGGCTCATGCCTGTAATCCCAGCACTTTGGGATACCGAGGTGGATGGATCACCTGAGGTCAGGAGTTCAAGACCAGCCTGACCAACATGGAGAAACTCCGTTTCTACTAAAAATACAAAAAATTGAATCTAAAGAGCTTTTAAATTGAAAAAAAAGGAAAAAGAAAAAAATGCAAAAAAATTATCTGGGCATGGTGGCACATGCCTGTAATCTAATCTACTAGGGAGGCTGAGGCTGGGAGGCGGAGTTTGCAGAGAGCCAAGATCTCACCATTGCACTCCAGCCTGGGCAACAAGAGTGAAACTCCACCCCCAACCCCCCCCCAAAAAAAAAAAAAGAATGATAATCCTGTAACACACACACACACACGCACACGCACTCCAGCCTGGGCAACATGGTAATCTTATAACACATGCGTGCATACACACACACCCCCGGTACTCTGGCCTGAGCAACAAGAGTGAAACTCTGTCCCCCCACCCAAAAAAAAGGAACGGTAATCCTGTAACTAACACACACACACGCTCACCCACCCCTATTCCAGCTTACCTGGGTCTGTCAGCTATCTGAAGTAATCATGCAATTTTAAAAAGCAAGGCTCTTAGGTACTTGCTGTTGAACTTCAGTTTCAGACAAATTAAGATTTCTAGCCGGGCGTGGTGGCTCAAGCCTGTAATCCCAGCACTTTGGGAGGCCGAGGCGGGTGGATCACGAGGTCGAGAGATAGAGACCATCCCGGTCAACATAGTGAAACCCCGTCTCTACTAAAAATACAAAAAATTAGCTGGGCATAGTGGCACGTGCCTGTAATCCCAGCTACTCAGGAGGCTGAGGCAGGAGAATTGCCTGAACCCAGGAGGCGGAGGTTGCGGTGAGCCGAGATCGCGCCATTGCACTCCAGCCTGGGTAACAAGAGCGAAACTCTGTCTCAAAAAAAAAAAAAAAAAAAAAAAAAGATTTCTAAAAAGATTACCTCTCCAAAATCTCTTCAATATAGGAATTCTAGAGCTACCACTGGGAGGAGAGCTACGAATAAAGAGGTTTTCACATTCTTTATAATACCTGAAATTTTGTGATTATCTGGAGATAAAAGTAAAGAAATGAATAGTTTTGAAAAGAACAACCTATAGCTTTGCAAAATTGAGGCATTTCCAGGTTTTTCTTTGCATTAATTATCAGTAGAGTAAGTGCTGAAGCATCCTATGTTTCTTAATGTTAATATACCATATATCGGCCAGGCGCAGTGGCTCACATCAGTAATTACAGCACTTTGGGAGGCCGAGATGGTTGGATCAATTGAGGTCAGGAGTTCAAGACGAGTCTGGCCAACATGGTGAAACCCCATCTCTACTAAAAATACAGAAAAATTAGCAGGGCATGGTGGTGCAGGCCTGTAGTCCCAGCTGCTTAGGAAGCTGAAGCACGAGAATCCGGGAGACGGAGATTACAATGAGCCAAAATTGCGTCACCACACGCCAGCCTGGGCGAGAGAGCAAGACTCTGTCTCTAAATAAATAAATAATGCATTTATCATCAAATCTAAGACACTATTAATTATAAGATTCGGTTATTTTACATATTAATTAAACAGAAAAGTACATAAGACAGCATAAAGCTGGAACATCAAACGGCTATCTTCTCATTAGTGTGAGGATGAATGATAAATAACCCACAACACAGAAAGAGATAGCAATGAAGTTTACTTCATTTTGGCAGTGGATAAGATGTTGAAAGACGGAATTTTCCCAGAGAACGCAAAACCCACACTGGTTTTCATATAGGTTTCCAATCTGAATTGGGCCCAAAAAGTCTCAAGCGGAAAATTTTACTTGAAGTTTTCTTAAATTGATATTGCCTCTAGGAGACTGGCAAAAGGAAAAGTAAATATTAGAAACACCCGGTGTCACTCCAGGCTTAATGATTGTAAGACACCAGTGACTGAGATAATCCCACATTTAGAGATGTTGGAATTTTTTAAATGTACACCTTGGAATTAGTGAAATGTAGTACTTCAAATGCAAATGTTTTGTTGACCTATAGAGATCATACTGTTTTGTTTAAAGTTTTCTTAATTTTTTTTGCAACTGTTTTAGTATTCAGAAATGTCTGCCTTTTGAGAATTTTTATTTTAAAATTATAGGGAAGAATTGGACATCGATCTAAAGGACATTTACTACAAAATCCGATGTGTTTTGATGCCAATGCCATCACTTGGTTTTAATAGACAAGTGGTGAGAGACAATCCTGACTTTTGGGGTCCTCTGGCTGTTGTTCTTTTCTTTTCCATGATATCATTATATGGACAGTTTAGGGTAAGTATATCTTATTTTATACAAATTCTAAATATTTTGAGAGTTTCAAAAATTAAATATAAAATATTAACTCTAATATACTGTACTATATTTGAGAAATGCTTTACCTTTACCCATTATTTCTCACTTGTTCATTCCTAAAACTGTTCAATAATTAAATAAGTGAAGAGTACCTTAGATTAGTGTTTTCAAACTTTTCCATGTGATGATTGACATAGAAAATACTAATATTTTTATGGCACACTGGGGTAAAATGGATAGAACCATTCCCAGCTGACCAGAAGTCACCAGAAGGGCTGCTCATGCCCCTTCTGATTTTCCCCAGAGATGAAGAGTTTGAAATGTAATACTCATATTCATATTTCTACCTTTTATTCATTCATAAGTCTGTTCTTAAAATGACCATTACTTTAAATGAATTATGAGAAGGATTCTATCAGTGTTTGTTTTTATACTACTACTGGTATTTTAATCACTGTGTCCTACTTTCAGATACTTTATCACCAAAACACAACATACATGCATCACTCCCTCATGCCAAGTTTAAGGCTTTGAGGGGGTAAAAACTTACTGTTCACCACAGGGATTTGGAAATGAATGAGTTTCTGGTGGCTGCTCTAATAAATTTCCACAAGCTTAGTGGCTTTAAACAAGACAGATTTATTGTTTTACAGTTCTGAATGTCAGAAGTCCAAAATAAGTCTTAAAGGGCTAAGATCAAAATGTCTATAGGGCTGGGGCTTCAGGGCAGAATCTGTTGCTTGTTTCTTTAATTTCCAAAGGCTGTCAGCAATCCTTGGCTTCTGGCTATATCACTATGATCTCTCTTCCTGTGGTCACATTGCTTTCTCCTTTATTGTACTTAAATCTCTCTCAGTTTCCATCTTTTTTTTTTTTTGAGATGAAGTTTCACTTTTGTTGCCCAGGTTGAAGCACAACGGCATGATCTTGGCTCACTGCACCCTACACCTCGCAGGTTCAAGCAGTTCTACTGCCCCAGTCTCCCAAGTAGTAGGGATTACAGGCATGCACCACCATCCCCAGCTAATTTTGTATTTTTAGTAAAGATGGGGTTTCAACATGTTGGTCTGGCTGGTCTTGAACAACCTCAGGTGATCATCCTGCCTTGACCTCCCAAAGTCCTGGAATTACAGGCATGAACCACAGCACCCAGTCTCAGTTGCCATCTTTTAAGGACAATTGTTATTACATTTAGTGCCCACCAAGGTAATCCAGAATAATCTCTCCATCACTTGATGCATTACTGTACTATTCTTATTAATATTTACCCTAGATTAGTAGCTTATATCAGATAGTCTGTTAAAGTGTTGTAAAGACCATTGAAGAAGGTGAATGGGGACTCTGGTCTCCTGCCTATTGCCAGTTCTTCATCTAGAACATCTCTAATTTTATCTGTTTTGTATAATCTTTCATTTTAACAAAGGGTTCTAAGGTTAAGAACAGAAGGTTACCATACCATCATAGGATGTCACTCAGTTTGGATTTGCTTGATGTTTTCTCATGAATGAATTCTGATTATGCATTTTTGTCAAGAATATCACAGAAGTGCCATTGTGCCCTTCTCTATATACTAACAGGGAGTATGTGATACTGATATGTCTTATTACTGGTGATGTTAACCTTGATCACTTGGTTAGGTGATGGGGTAGTATCTTCAATTTATCCAGTATAAAGTTACTATTTTTCTCTTTGTAATTAATAAATATCTTATGAAGGTGCTTTGCAACTAGGCAAATACCTTGTTTCTCATCTAACTTTAGCCTATTAATTTTAGCATCCTTTGGTAGATCTTACATGTAGTAATTATTACTATAATGTTTATAGAATTATGAGTTTTCTATTTCCCTCTTTCATTTTGAGTTAGAATCCAGTACTGTTATCATTTATTTTATTACTCAGATTTTTCAAGCTTTAACCATTGGGAGCTCCTTCAAGTTGCCTTCTGTCTCCTTTCAATATATCCCATTCTTTTTTTGAGTACTTCCTTTCCTTCTTACTTCACACGGTGTTCTGGGCTAATCTCATATTTTGCCTGCCCCAGCCTTGGAATCAACCATTTCTTTAAGGAGTCCTCTTTCTTTTCATTATTAGGAAATAATATTTAGAAACCAGTTTCTGGGCCGGGCACGGTGGCTCAAGCCTGTAATCCCAGCACTTTGGGAGGCCGAGGCAGGTGGATCACGAGGTCAAGAGATCGAGACCATCCTGGTCAATGAGGTGAAACCCCATCTCTACTAAAAATACAAAAAAAATTAGTTGGACATGGTGGCGCGTGCCTGTGATCCCAGCTACTCAGGAGGCTGAGGCAGGAGAATTGCCTGAACCCAGGAGGTGGAGGTTGCGGTGAGCCGAGATCGCGCCATTGCACTCCAGCCTGGGTAACTAGCGAAACTCTGCCTCAAAAAAAAAAAAAAAAGAAACCAGTTTCTGGGGCTGGGCATGGTGGTGCACTTCTGTAATCCCAACACTTTGGGAGGCTGAGGTGGGAGGATCACTTGAGCTCAGGAGTTTGAGACCAGCCTGGGCAACATAGTGAGACCTGGTCTCTATTAAATAAGTAAATAAACAAACAACATAGCAAGACCTTGTCTCTATTAAATAAAATCATAATTAAATTAATAAATAATAAAAGAAACCAGTGTCTGGGCAATAAATGTGCTTGTGTGGCTACTGGGGTGCTATTTCTTGACCATCCCAGCAGACAGAGCTTGAAAATATAAATATATGTATGTATCATTACACTAAGTTTGAGTAGTTAAGATTGTCTTAAATGGCTTCCATATTTCTGTTACTTGAATAAATACGTAATGTAAATTTTAAAGACTTCCAGAGAAGATTAGTAACTTGCTTCAGAAATAAATTTTTCTTGCAGGATGCTGTAAGCCAGGGGGTTGGTAGTAAACATTGTTTTTTTCAATAATCTTTTATCATAGATTTTGAAATAGTGAGGTTTCTTTAGGCAGTTAGTAATTGCTAAAATTTTAATTTGGATGTAAAATTGTATTACATATTGTATTCGCCTCCCAGGTTCAAGCAATTCTCCTGCCTCAGCCTCCCGAGTAGCTGGGACTACAGACGCGTGCCACCACACCTGGCTAATTTTTATATTTTAGTAGAGACGGGGTTTCACTATGTTGGCCAGGATTGTCTGGATCTCTTGACCTCGTGATCTGCCTGCCTCAGCCTCCCAAAATGTTGGGATTACAGGTGTGAGCCACCATGCCTGGCCTTACACACATCATATTCTTACTAAGTTTTGGAATGATACCTGAGAACTCACATAACCTCTCTATGACCTGAACTTGAGTGTTAGAGAGGTTATGTGAGCTCACTGAACTTGAGTGTGCTAACTGTCATTTATGGCAGAGAATTGAGTTCCTGGAAAATTATCAGCTTATTTTATATGAAAATATTAATTACATGATTTTTCTCTCTAAGGTGGTCTCATGGATTATAACCATTTGGATATTTGGTTCACTAACAATTTTCTTACTGGCCAGAGTTCTTGGTGGAGAAGTAAGTAGTTAATTTTGAAAATAACCTTCCTTTTTTATGGTGAGTTTAATTTTTGATACTGTATATATCATCATTAGCTATACAAGAAAATAACTGTTTCTTGTCCCAGAATTGCTTTATGGTAGTTCCTTTAAGATGATCAACATATTATTATTGTGCTTACTCAATCAATAGTACATGAAATGAGGAAAAAGAAAATATCCCCTCCCTTTTATGAAGTAAATGCAGCCTATTTTTTATTTATGAATTTTTTATTTTTAGATGGAGTCTTGCTTTGTCACCCAAGCTGGAGTGCAGTGGGGCAATCTCGGCTCACTGCCATCTCTGCCTCCCGGGTTCAAGCAGTTCTCTTGCTTCAGCCTCCCAAGTAGCTGGGATTATACATGTGCCACCCCGCCTGGCTCATTTTTGTATTTTTAGTAGAAACAGTGAAACTCCTGTACTCAAACTCCCAACCTCAAGCGATCTGCCCACCTTGGCCTCCCAAAGTGCTGGAATTACAGGAGTGAGCCACCACACCCAGCCAAAATTTATTTATTTATTTTATTTATATATTTATTTTTATTTAATTTTTTTAAGATGAAGTTTTGCTCTTGTTGCCCTGGCTGAAGTGTAACGGCACGATTTTGCCTCATCGCAACCTCTGCCTCCCAGGTTGAAACAGTTCTTCTGCCTCAGCTTTCTGAGTAGCTGGGATCACAGGCATGCACCACCATGCCTGGCTAATTTTGTATTTTTAGTAGCAACTGGGTTTCTCCATGTTGGTCAGGCTGGTCTCAAACTCCCGACCTCAGGTGATCTGCCTGCCTTGGCCTCCCAAAGTACTGGGATTACAGGCATGAGCCACTGCGCCTGGCCTATTTATTTATTCGTTTTTGAGATGGAGTCTTGCTCTGTCGCACAGGCTAGAGTGCAGTGGTGAGATCTCAGCTCACTGCACCCTCTGCCTCCTGGGTTCAAGCGATTCTCCTGCCTCAGCCTCCCGAGTGGCTGGAATTACAGGAGCCCACCACCTCACCCAGCTAACCTTTTTTTTTGAGACAGTGTCTAGTTCTGTCTGCAGTCTAGAGTACAGTGGCACGATCTCAGCTCACTGCAGTCTCCACCTCCCAGGTTCAAGCAATTCTCCTGCCTCAGCCTCCCGAGTAGCTGGGACTACAGGTGCATAGCACCACACCTGACTAATTTCACCATGTTGGCCAGGATAGTCTCAGTCTTCTGACTTCGTGATCCACCCACGTTGGCCTCCCGAAGTGCTGAGATTACAGGCATAAGCCACAGTGCCCAGCCTAATTTTTGTATTTTTAATAGAGACACAGTTTCAATCATCTTGGCAGGCTGGTGTTGAACTCCTGACCTTGTGATCCACCCGCTTCAGCCTCCCAGTGTGCTGGGATTACAGGTGTGAATCACTGCACCCAGCCTTATTTATTTTTTTTTAGATAGAGTCTTGCTTTGTCACCCAGGCTAGAGTGTAGTGACACAATCTCAGCTCACTGCAACTTCCACCCCTCAGGTTCAAGTGATTCTCCTTCCTCAGCCTTCTGAGTAGCTGGGATTACAAGCACGTACCACCCTGCCTAATTTTTGTATTTTTAGTAGAGACAGGATTTCACCATGTTGATCAGGCTTGTCTTGAACTCCTGACATCAGGTTGTCTGCCTCAGCCTACCAAAATGCTAGGATTACAGGCGTGAAGCACTGTAACCAGCCGGAATTTATTCTTACAGAAATTCTCAAACTTTTTGATCTCAGGTTGTCAGAGAGATTTGTAACAATAAACCAACTACATTTTAAATGTATTTTTCTTTAAATACATTTAAAGAAAAATAACTATATTTTTCAAAACAGAAGAGTAGCCTTGTGTTACCTTTTTGTAAGTAGCTTTAATGTCTGATTTAATGGAAATTGGATTCTAATATATGGTTTTTCCATTCAATCTGTTAAGATACATTGTTTTGGCTAAAGTATCTGACGAAAATAAGGCCTTATACAGGTATACAGTTGGAAAGGGAGAGTATTTTAATAACCTTTTCCAATTATTGTGAATATTCTCTGATATTACACCAAAACCCTGTGGCTCATACCTGTAGTCCCAGCACTTTTGGAGGCTGACACAGGAGGATTGTTTGAGCCCAGGAGTTCCAAGATCAGCCTGGACAACACAGGGAGACCCTGTCTCTATAAATAATTTTAAAATTAGCCAGGCATGATGGTGTGTGCCTGTGGTCCCAGCTACTAGGGACTGAGGTGGGAGGCTTACCTGAGCCTGGGGGGTTATGACTGTGGTGAGCTGTCTTCATGCCACTACACTCTAGCCTGGCCGACAGTGAGATCTTGTCTCAAAAATAAATAAATAAGGAGTTTTGAGCTAGGTATGGTGGTACACACCTGTAGTCCCAGCTACTTGGGAGACTGAGGTGGGAGGATCACAGAGGATCACTTGAGTCCAGGAGTAGTAGTAGTTGTTTTTTTGTTTTGTTTTTACTCTTTTTTTTTTTTTTTTTTGAGACGGAGTTTTGCTCTTGTTACCCAGGCTGGAGTGCAATGGCGCCATCTCGGCTCACCGCAACCTCCGCCTCCTGGGTTCAGGCAATTCTCCTGCCTCAGTCTCCTGAGTAGCTGGGATTACAGGCACAAGCCACCATGCCGAGCTAATTTTCTGTATTTTTAGTAGAGACGGGGTTTCACTATGTTGACCAGGATGGTCTCGATCTCTTGACCTTGTGATCCACCCGCCTCAGCGATTACAGGCTTAAGCCACCGCGCCCGGCCTGTTTTGTTTTTAAAAACAAGTTTTGCCGGGCGCGGTGGCTCAAGCCTGTAATCCCAGCACTTTGGGAGGCCGAGGCGGGTGGATCACGAGGTCAAGAGATCGAGACCATCCTGGTCAACATGGTGAAACCCCGTCTCTACTAAAAATACAGAAAATTAGCTGGGCATGGTGGCGCGTGCCTGTAATCCCAGCTACTCAGGAGGTTGAGGCAGGAGAATTGCCTGAACCCAGGAGGCGGAGGTTGCGGTGAGCCAAGATCGCACCATTGCACTCCAGCCTGGGTCACAAGAGCGAAACTCCATCTCAAAAAAAAGAGTTTCTTGCCGGGCGCGGTGGCTCAAGCCTGTAATCCCAGGACTTTGGGAGGCCGAGGCGGGTGGATCACGAGGTCAAGAGATCAAGACCATCCTGGTCAACATGGTGAAACCCCATCTCTACTAAAAATACAAAAAAAAAATTAGCTGGGCATGGTGGCGTGTGCCTGTAATCCCAGCTACTCAGGAGGCTGAGGCAGGAGAATTGCCTGAACCCGGGAGGCGGAGGTTGCGGTGAGCCGAGATCGCGCCATTGCACTCCAGCCTGGGTAACAAGAGCAAAAACTCGGTCTCAAAAAAAAAAAAAAGAGTTTCTTTTTTCCCTTCTGTTTCTAATTTCAGAAGTGAATATTAGCTATATATGCTCAATCCAGCATCTTAAAACTCTTGAATAAATTTAGAGTAATATCTGTGAAATTTTAATACTCTGCATATGGAAATTTAAAATAATTCTAATAAACACTTAAAATTGTACTTGTTTATATATTATTTCTTATGTCCTAGACAAAACCTAGTATAATATTTACATGAAAATTATGTGTTTTGTTAATTCAAGACTGTTGATGTAGGAGTTTAGGGGCCTAGATTTTAATTTGAATACTGATACTTTTCTGACTTTGCTTAATCAATTTATTCACAATAGGGACAATAATGTCTATTTGTAAGATTATTTCATTTGATTTCCACAGCATATGAAGCCCTATTACAGAGCTTGGCATAAAGTAGTCACTAAAAAATATTTTTCTCTTCAGTCTCTCCTGGTCACCTTCCTTTCCTTCTGGTCTTCATTTGGAACATCCATGTTCTCTAGACCTTGGATTTTTCATCTGAATGGGATGGTTGTAGTTCCTTTAAGTAATTCTACAATTTAAGGGAAATAGTGACAAAATGTATTGTAGAGATATACTGAAGGTAGTATGAAACTCAAGAGAGAGATAAATGCTGTAAATATAGATTTGGGTATTATCAGCAAATTTATGATAATTGTAACCGTGTTGGTTGGTGAGACTATCCAGGAATATGGGAGATTATATGATGATTTGAAATAATAAGTATAATAGTTTGTTATTTCTTATTCTCACGTTTATTTAAATACAACAAGGAATATCTGGTGTTCAGTTGTGATTAAAATGAGTATCTTGATTTTATGACATTTATTTGAAATATTCAAAATTCACAGGTTGCATATGGCCAAGTCCTTGGAGTTATAGGATACTCATTACTTCCTCTCATTGTAATAGCACCTATACTTTTGGTGGTTGGATCATTTGAAGTGGTGTCTACACTTATAAAAGTAAGTTGAGGATTATGTATTACATAAAGTAGTTTACTGTTTTCCAATGTCAGAAGTATAAGAGGTCTCTAGCTAGGAATGTTGTAATATAAAGCTATTTATCAAACAGTTGGTAGTATTTTGGAAGTTATCTTCCTTACTGATTTTACCAATTACATTTATTTTTTTTCCTTTTGATCACCAGATATTACCATTTGTGTGGAGGGAAAAATAAAGAGTAAATCAGGTTTACTCTTTATTATAAATATAATATATATATAACAGTCAGACTTTTTTTTTTTTTTTTTTTTTTTTTTGAGATGGCGTCTTGATCTGTCACCAGGGCTGGAGTGCCTCGAAGGTTCATGTGATTCTCCTGCCTCAGCCTCCCTAGTAGCTGGGACTATAGGCATGTGCCACCATGCCTGGCTAAGTTTTTGTTTTTAGTAGAGATGGGGTTTCACCGTGTTGGCCAGGCTGGTCTTGGAACTCCTGACCTCAGGTGATCTGCCTACCTCAGTCTCCCAAAGTGCTGGGATTACAGGCATGAGCCACCACACCTGGCCTGATCAGCATTTTTTATTTACTTATTTTATTTTATTATTTTATTTTTTTGAGACGGAGTCTCACCCTGTTGCCCAGGCTGGAGTGCAGTGGCACAGTGGGTTTTCCGTAATGCAGAGCAGGACTTCTTTGTGTTATTTATGTTAAATTAACATATGTACACACTTTTAAACATTTGTCGATAATATTAAGTATTAATAAATAGTTATTTAACTTAAAAATTGGAATTTATTAATGTTGAACAACTTTGGGAAATGAATGACTGCTTTGACACATATATGTGTATTACACAGTGAATATAATTGTTTTCTTTATGGAAAACAGAACCGTTAAAGACTGTGACTTTCAGAACTGCTATTATGTAGCCTCCACATGAAAGTATTTGGTTTTAAGTAGCTGAGCCACTTGAAATTATTACTAATTTCAATATAAAATAAATAATGATTCCTGGTAGAATTTGGAAACTAGACCAGGTGCGGTGGCTTACGCCTGTAATCCCAGCACTTTGGGAGCCTGAGATGGATGGATCATGAGGTAAAGAGATCAAGACCATCCTGGCCAACGTGGTGAAACTCTTGTCTTTATTAAAAATTTCTTAAAAGGCCAGGCGTGTTGGCTCACGCCTGTAATCCCAGCACTTTGGGAGGCTGAGGCAGGCGGATCACAAGATCAAAAGATCAAAACCATGCTGGCCAACATGGTGAAACTCCATCTCTACTAAAAAATATAAAAATTAGCTGGGCATGGTGGCGTGCAGCTGTAGTCCTAGCCACTCGGGAGGCTGATGCAGAATTGCTTGAACCCAGGAGGCGGAGATTGCAGTGAGCTGAGATTGTGCCACTGCACTCCAACCTGGTGCCTGGTGACAGAGCAAGACTGTGTCTCCAAAAAAAAAAAATTATCCGAATGCAGGATAATAGATGAAAAATAAAAGAAAAAATAATTAGCTGGGCGTGGTGGTGTGCACCTGTAGTTCCAGCTACTCAGGAGGCTGAAGAAGGGGAATTGCTTGAACCCAGGAGGTAGAGATTGCAGTGAGCCGAGATTGTGCCACCGCACTCCAGCCTGGTGCCTGGTGATAGAGCAAGACTCTGTCTTAAATAAAAAAAAAAATAGCTGGGCATGGTGGCGCATGCCTGTAGTCCCAGCTACTCGAGAGGCTGAGGCAGGAGATCACTTGAACTCTGGAGGTGGAGGTTGCAGTGAGCTGAGATTGCACCACTGCACTCCAGTCTAACAACAGAGTGAGACTATCTCAAAAAAACAAAACAAAAAAAGCAGAAAAAGAATTTGGAAACTATATGCTGATACTGATAATAAGCATTGGGTATTGAAATAGTGTGGTTTTTGGAACTAATAAGTTCTAAATTTAAACCCTGGTCTGCCGCTTACTTGCTGCCTGGTCTTCCAAGGTATCTTAACTTACTCTCAGTTTGTTCTGAACAATGGTAAGCTTAGCAACTATATTTTAGGGTTAGTTACAACGAGTTTAAAGTATATATAGTGCTGACTAGGCATGGTGGCTCACGCCTATAATCCCAGCACTCTGGGAGGCTGAGGCAGGTAGATTACTTGAGCCCAGGACTTTGAAATCAGCCTGGGCAACATGGTGAAAATCCATCTTGTTGTACCCTAGCAAGTCAAGGAATGTGTCACACTCTGAGATTGAATTATGAGTCCTTTATTAGGCCGGCGACCAAGAGGTGGCTAATGCCCAAAATTCTATTGGCCCGAAGAAAAAGTTAGGTGGTCTTTTATACCCTAGTTTTAAAAGGGTAGGGGAACCTAGCTGAAGCAAATTTTTCACAAAAGCAGAGTAAGCAAAAAGTTGAAAGATAAACTGATACATGAGAAAACACTACCAGGTGCGAGGGACAAAGCTGTCATAAAAGACATACCACTTGCAGATAATGGGGTCTCTGGGCGCTCAACTGCACCTGTATTCCCAGGTTCTCCTGGTACCACTTAATTTGGCCTCTTATCAACAAATGCATTTCTGGGTGCCCAGTGTCAGCCTGCCCCAGTTACATACGATGGTTACATATTTAATGGTGAGAGAATAACTAAAATGAAGAAGCCAAAATGGAGTCTGTCCAGCTCAAGAAACTAACCTAAAGCCTGAACAGCTTTTATTCTGAGAAGAGTTTTAACTGGCAAAAAGCAGGTTATCACAATCTCTACAAAAAAATTAACCAGCTGTAAGGACATCCTCCTCTTTCATTTGTAGAACATCAGGGAAAAAAATGAAAATAAAAATAAATAAAAATAAATTTAAAAAATTAGGCAGGTGTGGTGGCAGGTACCTGTGGTCCCAGTTCCTTGGGAGGCTGAGGTGGGAGGATTGCTTGGCCAATGAGGCCACGGCTGTAATGAGCTGTGATTGCACTGCTGCACTCCAGCCTGGGTTGTCAGAGTGAGACCCTGTCTCAAAATAAATAAATAAATAAATAAATAAAGTATATATAATGCCTAACACAGTGCTTGGCACAGAATAGGCACTCAAGCTGTTGTTTTTACAAATATTATAAAATAGGCCAGGTATGGTGGCTCACTCTCATCAATCCCAGCACTTTGGCAGGCTGAGGTGGGTGATCAGTTGAGCCCAGGAGTTCAAGACTCAACCGTCTTTCCAGAGGTACAAAAATTAGCCAGACGTGGTCGCATGCTCCTGTAATCCCAGCTACTCAGAAGGCTGAGATGGGAGGACGCCTGAGTCCAGGAGATTGAGGCTGCAGTGAGCCGTGCTCATACCACTGTACTCCAGTGTAGGTAACAGAGTGAGACCTTGTCTTAATAAAAACCCAAATTATAATATTTAAGGATCATCTTTGTGTTTAAACTGTTTAAATACTTTAGAGACTAAAGAGACCTTGCTTTCCTCTTGATTTCAACCCTAAAATCTTTTTTTTTAATTGGCATTATTAGAACTTAGTTAAAAAGTCTTAACATTGAAGCAGCTAGCCTCATGCTGATATTTAATTATTCTAGCCTTAGTGAACATACACTGATTTACAATGACTTCTGCCGAATGTTTTTTCACTTGGACTAAACTTGTTTCTGAGACTACTTCCAAAATGGTTAAAACCCTTCTCTTGCCGGGCTCAGTAGCTCACGCCTGTAATCCTAGAAGTGGGTGGATCACCTGAGGTCAGGAGTTCAAGACCAGCCTGGCCATCATGGTGAAACCCCATCTTTAGGGGAAAAAAAAAAAAAACCCTCCTCTTGTCATTTTTAATTATATAATTCAACTGAAAGTTGGACCTTAATATTCTTTATACAACGTATAAATATACAATGGAAAAATCTATTTTATATCATTAAAAATTTAGAGTAAAATTGCTTTTAAACTTCAGACTATTTGTACCAAAATTTTTTCCTGACACTTAGTCTTCTGTGGGTAGTGACCTATTACACGTGTTTCATATTTCAGTCAGGTTTGTTGAGAAATATGTTGCAAAATTCATCAGTTAACTAGCACTAGGGTATATAGTTTAAGTGCACTAATTTTATTTAACATTAAATCTCTGTAATACCACCGTTTAACCATTTATAATGAAATCTAATCATGAAATAAAATGCAGGTTTTTTGTTTTTGTTTTTTTTTAGATGAAGTTTCACTTTGTGGCCCAGGCTGGAGTGTAGTGGCACCATCTTGGCTCACTGCAACCTCCGCCTTCCAGGTTCAGGCAATTCTCCTGCCTCAGCTTCCTGAGTAGCTGAGATTACAGGCATGTGCCACCACACCCAGCTAATTTTTAAAATATTTTTAGTAGAGACGAGGTTTCACCATGTTGGTCAGGCTGGTCTTGAGCTCCTGACCTTGTGATCCACCTGCCTCGGCCTCCCAAAGTGCTGGGATTACAGGCGTGAGCCACCGCACCCAGCATAAAATGCAGTTTGATCAAATTTCTTTTTATATATTTCCCTGTACTTCTGCGTATGTTTGAATTATTTTGTAGGATTACTTCTGTTTTTCAAGTTTAACAAACCCAGTGGAAAGCTGAACCACACTAAATACATTTTTAATAAGTTTGCCTGTATTTATTTTTTACCTATATAACAGTGATTCTCAACTGAGGTCGATTTTGTCCACCAGGGGACATTTGTAAACATCTGGAGGCATTTTTTGAGGAGGAATGTTACTAGCATATAGTGCATAGAGGGCAGGGATGCTGCTGAACATCCTACAATGCACAGGATAGCTCCCCACAGCCAAGACGTTTATACAGCCTAAAATGTCAATATTGCAAGGTTTAGAAACTCTGCTTTGTGCCAAGTCCGTTCCTATTATAGTTTCCTTGATTTCTCTTGAAGTTTTCCCTTAATTTTATGCTGTAAAATATGTTGGGTGACTACATCAATAAGTACTGCATAAATTTCCAGTAGAAATAAGGTAAAAGTGCATATGTGTATAATCCAAAAACTTAATGGTATACTTTATTTAAACTCTTGACCAAAATGTGATCTTTTTTTTTTTTTCTCCTTTTTATTCAACCCTGTATTTCTACCTTTTCCTGGGGTAAAAAACTTAATAAATATTGAGACAATAAATACTGTATAAAATGTTCACTTAATCGATTTTTTTACTTAGAAGGGAAAAAAGGAAAATTTCCTACTTTGTAGGAATTAGTTTTTGCTCAGTAATTTGTTGTAGTAGTTTTTTCACAAGTTGCCTAATCGTAATCACCAGGGAACTTATTTAAAAGACTGATAACTAGATCCTTCTATTAGAAATTATAATTCAAAAAATAATAATAATAAGTTATAATTCAACAGAACTAGAGTCCCCAAGTCTCTGTTAGGCACACCAAGTGATTCTTATGATTAGTTTGATAAGACCACATTTACAAAAGAAAAGACTACATTTATAGAAGTCAAGGAGTAAAGCAAAGATGAACATTCTTATTAAATTGTAACATTTGTAACAAATTTTGCTATTTACCAAAATTGGTGGTTGATCTTTTTAAAATATTGTAAACACTGTTTTTACTCTATGATATCCAAAAAGTTAATTGACTTGCTAATATACTACCTTTTGTCTTTTCTTTTTTTTTTTTTAAAGCTGTTTGGTGTGTTTTGGGCTGCCTACAGTGCTGCTTCATTGTTAGTGGGTGAAGAATTCAAGACCAAAAAGCCTCTTCTGATTTATCCAATCTTTTTATTATACATTTATTTTTTGTCTTTATATACTGGTGTGTGATCCAAGTTATACACGAATAGAAAAAGATGGTGTTACATTTGTGTGTAGACTGGGAATTCTTGCTGAAGGAATTGGTGAAAACCTGTTGCTGGTAAAATTTTACATGTTCCAGATGGAAAGGGAAGTTTAAGTGCTTTTTACAACAATTTTTTTTTGTATTTAATTAAGCAATTGCAGTATCTGGGATTTTTGGGTCAGAATTTTAAATTCTGTTTGATTCTCCATATTCCAGTGAATAAAATACAAAAGCATTGTGTTTTTAAGATTGTGTCAATATTCACCTAAAAACTTGTGCCAAAAGCACCTGGATTGGTAATTTTATTTCACTTGAAGGGTAAATTTGACAATGTCCTGATAATCTAAAGTGCAGTTTTTTTCTTTAAAATGTTTTCTCCAGCATCACAGATCCTGCAGATATATATTTATATTTATACATATATATTTATGAAATAATTATTCACAAAATATATTTCTGAATAGATTAAACACTAGGATATTAAATCTGATGCCTAAACCTTTTTTCATTTGGCCATTAATCTTTTTTGTTTAAAAATTTAAATTTGTTTTTAAAATTGTATATAATTTTTTAAATCTCACACATGCTTCAATACTTCCTTGTTAAGAATTCTTAATAACTACTAAAACTGATTTTAATAGTTGCTGATATATATTTGTGTGGGTGTACTTTTTAAAACAATTTTTGAATGTCCAAACATCTGATTTAAAGTTTCTGTTTATCTTTCTGTTCAAAGGAGCAAAAGGTATAATGAATATGGCATTCATTAAAATCATTATTCTGTACAAAAACAGTAATATTTGCAGCATCAGTGAATATTTTTAAGTGGTGCTTCTAAGTCATAAAAGTTGCAGAAAGAGACCTTTAAAATCCTGTGGTCTTGAACAATGTTATATGGAATAGAAAAAAATAAAATACTTCCCACTTGCGTGTTTTTTTTTTATAGCACCACGCCCTGTATTACTTGATATTTTAACAAGTATCAGGTACTCTCTAACAAATGTACAGTTTTTGCTAAGGGAAATAGTAAGAAATAATTTTATCAGTGAAATTTTGGTTGCAAATAATTTCATAGGTTTTTAGATGTGCCTTTAGTCAATATTACTTTGTAAAGTCTTTTAAACATTTTATTTGTGTCCATAAAATAGCAAACGTCTGTTAACTATTAGCAAATTATTGTATTATCCTTTCTGGTCTCATCTGGAAGAGTTCGCTGCTGTCCTCAATGTGGTAACATGGCGACCTCTTGGTATGTATTTCTTTAGCAAAATTACCTGTCAGGAAATATCCAGCACCTCTGAAGGAAGCCTACAAATGAACATGTTATCAAGTCTGCCCCTCTTCCTTTCCCCGATCCCAAAAGGAAAGAAAGAAAGAAAAACTTATTTTAAGCTGCAGAAAAAGTGTAGAGCACCTTTGAGCTAGAAAAATTTAGAAAATTACACGTACTGATTTTTTTTTTCAAAACAGATGAGAATCACCAAAAGGATAGGACTTCTAGAAGTTAGAGTAATATGAAGTAATCAGGAAAGATCTATGCCTACAGAAGCAGCAAATGTAAGATAAACATTTGTTACACTTCAGAAATTGCTGAGGTTAGTACTTTGTTATACTGGGGAATTGTATTTGATGTTCATAGTGTTGACCCTGGAATCTTTCACAAAAAGCTTGGAGGTCAGGACCAGGAGGTAGAGTTTTACAAGCCGTTAAATGAAGGTATTTTAGGATCACCTCTATTAAAAAATGTTTTTTTAAAACTGTTAATGCTTTAAGGTATGAATTTTAAAAATCACTTATATGGATCATGTTTACTCCTAATGATAGATAAAATGAGGTATTTTTGCTCTAAAAAGGTATTTTAAAATAGCATTTAATTGGGGCCGGGCGCGGTGGCTCAAGCCTGTAATCCCAGCACTTTGGGAGGCCAAGGCGGGTGGATCACGAGGTCAAGAGATCGAGACCGGCCGGGCGTGGTGGCTCAAGCCTATAATCCCAGCACTTTGGGAGGCTGAGGTGGATGGATCACGAGGTCAAGAGATCGAGACCATCCTGGTCAACATAGTGAAACCCCGTCTCTACTAAAAATACAAAAAATTAGCTGGGCATGGTGGTGCGTGCCTGTAATCCCAGCTACTCAGGAGGCTGAGGCAGGAGAATTGCCTGAAGCCAGGAGGCGGAGGTTGCGGTGAGCTGAGATCGTGCCATTGCACTCCAGCCTGGGTAACAAGAGCGAAACTCCGTCTCAAAAAAAAAAAAAAAAACATGATTTGTAGATGTGTGCAAGACACAGTACTGCTATGGCTAATAATAGTAAGATGACCAGTAAGTAACATTGTCCTCTCCTTGAATTTTTTATATATTTTCTGAGTCGTACTGATTTTTTAAATCATGATTTCAAACATAATTGTTAGTTCATTAGAATTTTTAAAACAGAACTGGCCAGATACTCTGTGTATCTTATGTCTCTTCTAGTTGCGTGTGAGTAAATATGTGTCTTTTAAGTGTTATCAGTTGTAGTACTCCTGATGAATGATAATCCTCCAAAAAATAGGAGACATGCTTGCTTCTTTTTAAGGTTGACCATAAAATAATTGAAAGTTTGATTAAAAATCAAAGTCTATATATAATTAAGCATAGTTTTAAAAAGTTGTTTACGAAGATTTGTAAAGTTTATGAACCATTTGAAACCTTATCTCTAAGGTCTGTGAGACAATTTTGTATGTCATAATGTGTCCATTTGCAGGAATTCTCCAAATGCTCATATAGCCATTGAGCACCCCAATCCAAAATTCAGTACTCCAGATAAGAACATTTTCTAGTGCTGATGTGATACTTCAAAGGAAATGTTCATTGGAGCATTTTGGATTTCAAATTTTTGATTAGGAAAGCTTAACCACTATATATTTCTGCAAATCTGAAAAAATCTGAAACCTGAGAAACTCTGGTCCCAAGCATTTTGGGTAAGGTACACTCAACCTGTATTAATATGTATAGACTTCTAAGTTAGTAAAAATTTGCATTGACTTAAAATACAAAGTAAATATTTTTGTTTAAGTATTGTTTAAAATTTAGTCATTTTTAAAATTTTTGATGTAACAAAACAGTGAATAAAGCTTCTACAACTTAATAAAAATATTTTTTATAGTCAAGAAAACTAGTTGAATATTTTTAAATACTCATTTTTGCTAGTGCATGTTTTAGGCTTTAGGGAACTGTGACACTTTTTTTTTTTTTTTTTTTTGGAGATGGAGTCTTGTTCTGTTGCTCAGGCTGGAGGGAGTACAGTCGTGCAATCTCACTGCAACCTCTGCTTCCTGGGTTCAAGCGATTCTTGTGTCTCAGCCTCCCTAGTAGCTAGGATTACAGGCACCCGCCATCATGCCCAGCTAATTTTTTTCATTTTAAGTGGAGATGGGTTTTCACCATGTTGGCCAGGCTAGTCTTGAACTCCTGACCTAAGGTGATCCACCCACCTTGGCCTCCCAAATTGCTGGGATTACAAGCGTGAGCCACCATGCCCAGCACTTTTGTTTTTAAAATAGTATCTTATGTTCATACAGTTCTTTCAGACTGTGGTATCACATTCTGAAACAAGTCTTAACAGAGCTAAAACTCACTCCCAACAATTCTCTGCACTGTCATATGTACACAGAGTAATATTGTTTTATTATTCTCCTTCATAAATGGTTTCTTTAATTGAACCTTTGAGCCTTATAATACTTTAAAATCTCCCTTTATAAACTGAATTACAGGCAGGCACGGTGGCTCAGGTCTATAATCCCAGCTCTTTGGGAGGCCAAGACAGGAAGATTGCTTGAACCCAAGAGTTGGAGACTATCATGGGTGAGATAATGAGACCCTGCCTCAAATCATCATCATCGTAATTTAATTTTTTAAAACCTCTGAATTAGAAGTGCTCCATTCCTCATTTGTATACAGTCATTCCTCTGTATACAAAGGGATTGGTATCAGAACCACCACTTACTAAATTCCACACATACTCAAGTCCCACAGTCTTCACTGCAGAATCCAAGTATACAGAAAGTAGGCCCATGATTTATATGGGTTTTACATCCTGACGCTACTGTTATTTCAATCCTGGTTTGTTTCAAAGAAAAAAAAAAAAAAATTGTATGTATGCCTGGGTATACATACAGTGTCTCACACCTGTAATCCCAGCACTTTTGGGGGCTGAGGCAGGAGGATTGTTTTGAGGCCAGGAGTTCAAAACCAGCCTGGTCAACATAGTAAGATCCCATCTCTACAAAAGGAAAAATTAGCTGGGCATGGTGACACTTGACTGTGGTCCCAGTTATTTAGGAGGCTGAGGCAAGAGGATTGCTTGAGCCTGGGAGGTTGAGGCTCTGCAGTGAGCCATGATCACACCACTGCATGCCATCCTGGACCACAGAGTGAGACCGTGTCTCAAAAAAAAAAAAAATTTTAATTGCATGTAAGTTGACCCACAGTATTCAAATTTGTGGTGTTCAAGGTTCAACTGTAATTTCCTAGTAGAATTTTGTATGTTTAAGAATCTGTTGATACTCTTCAAGTAAATCCCTAAATTGTAACTTTGACATCAGGAAGGCTAGACATTTTACATTTTTGCACTGCAAAACATAATACATCAAAACTCCCATGCTGATTTGTTGTGGGATCGTGCCTGTGAATAACCATGGCACTTCAGCCTGGGCAACACAGTAAGACCTCATCTCTTAAAAAAAAAAAAAAAAATACATTCTGAAGTAAGTTTTACTTATGAATAAATATATTTTATTTACAACAAACTGGTGAAAATTTTAGACCCAACCATGTCTTTATGGTTACAGTGATACAGAAAGAAATGGTTAAGAGAATGTTCCCTATACGAAGCATATGTTATTAAACATGAAACAGGATTAGTTTTCTCCTTGAAAATTCTTTTGATATGCTGAGGTTGCAGTTTGGAGGTTACATTAGAGAAAGAATGTAGAGAAGATTAAGATGGCAGTGGTAAAATGTTTCCCTACTTTACATTTTATATTGGCAGTACCCTGGTTTCAACTTTTCTATTTTCAGCAAGATATTTGCAGGCTTTTACTTTGAAGATACTTGGTTTATAGTAGTCCATGCTATACTAATGTTGTTACTAAGATAATTAAGTTAGATACTAATATGAAAAAGTAGAATATTTGTGTAAATATTTTGAAATTGTAATTAGTGTATATACAAGTTGTTAATACTTATGACAAAAGGAAGCATTCTCACCCGTAATAATTTTGTTAAAATTAAAATAATAAGTAAATTAAGTTTATCAAGAATAAAAACCTTGGCTTTTCTGTAATAGTTGCCACTGAGCAATTTTTATTAAAAACCAAACAAATGTATTTACACAAGAACAAGTGAAATTACACAAAATGATAGTGGGGAGAAATTTCTCATGGTGATAAAGGGGAAAAGAATGTAAAAGCAGATTGCTGCTATTCACATAATAAGCACTTTGAAGAATAAATGCTCAAGTTCCATATTTTTGCTTTATTTTCTACCTACTCACTTTGGTGGAACTAGTTGTCTATGTAAAGTATCTTTTAAATAGTAAGCACCATTTGATAATAAAACAACCTATATGTTTTATAATCCTTATGGAGAATTACCTCCTATGATCATTATAGTCTCTTCATGGAAAACAGTAAAAATACTCATGTTTATGATGATGGACCTACGTACTAAATTTCTCAGTCGTTTTTTACCAAATGGTACTTAATAAAATCTTTTACCTTATAAAAATATATTTTCAAAGTATGGTGCTAGTGGTGGCCTGAATAATAAAACATTGAGAAGAAACAGCATTTGAATTTGGCACTCTGAATGTGAAGGGATAATAGATATTAATCTAGTATTTGTTAACCCTTTCCTGTATGAGCCATGTACTATGCTGAGTGTAGGGATACAATGATATGGA